AATAGTATTACTTCCGATTTATCTAAACATGAAGTAATTTTGCATCTAGAGCGCTTGGAAAGGATTTATTCAGATTTTGATAAATTTGATGCCCAATTACCAGAAGAGCAGTCAGAAATTGAAGATTTTGAATCAATGTATTTTAGTTTGAAACTTCAGTATCAAAATTTGTTAGATGTATTGAATGTGGCTAATGTGCCAAATGTTTCAGGGAATTCTAATATTAGTAACTTTAAGTTACCGAAGTTGAATATTCTTATTTTTTCGGGTAACTTTAATGACTGGATGAATTTTAAAGATTTATTTGTTGCAACAGTGCATAATACTTCTTTATCGAATATACAGAAATTTCTGTATATTTAATCGGATCACTTGCTGATGAACCAGCTTCTATAATTAAACATATTCCGTTATCAAATAATTCTTATGAAGAAGCATGGGCAAAATTGCTTGCTAGGTACGATAAAAAGAAGCAAATTGTACAATTGTTAATTAAAACATTTCTGGATCAAAATTGTATTTCACAGGTTGATAATGTTAATTTACGCAAATTACCTGATACTTCAGATGAAGTTATCAGAGGTTTAAAAGCTCTTGGTGACGAAGCAACTTCTAGGGATCCATGGTTAATATTTATGTTGCTTCAAAAGGTAGATTCAGAAACTCGAAAGTTATGGGCACAGAAAACAGCGGAAGATGATTTCCCTACACTGGAATCATTTTTTGAATTTTTAAATTTAAGGTGTTCTTCTCTCGAAATTATCATAAATAAAGAAGCAGAAGCTAAAGTCGTTCATAAAAATAGTAATGTTAGTTCTGAAACATTACAGAATTCTAAATTTAGTAATACTAAATGTTCGAAATGTAACGGACTTCATGCTTTATAAAAATGTGTTAAATTTAAGAATTTGGATGTTACTGCTAGAAAGAACTTTGTAAGAAAACAAGGATTGTGTTTTTTATGTTTAAAGTCACATCTAATCAAAAATTGTAATTCACAGTTAAAATGTAATTTGTGTAATTCAAAAACGCATAATATTTTGTTGCATGAAGATATTAAAGCTTTTAACAGCGCCAAATGAAAACGAAAGCACTTTAGAGAGAATTTTGAATGAATCATGCGAGGGTAAAGGTCAGGTAGTTGTCAGTAATACGATTCAAAATTGCAGCTCAGCCAGTGGCGAAACTATCGAAATTAAATTATTACTGGATTCCAAATGTGAAAGTTTGTTTATTTCTGAACGAGCTGTTCGAAGATTAGGGTTAAAAAGAATGTAATCGAAGGTTACTTTTGCGTGGAATTGGCGGAGTGACCAGCTTCCAAACCTGCGGCTTTGTTAGTATTTTAAAAGTATGGTCAAGGTTAAATAATGAAATAATTGATGTTAACGCATACATTTTGGATAAGGTTAACTTTGCCATTGCCGGAACAAGTCATTAATGTAAAGCATATAGAATACATTAAATCTATTCCGTTAGCGGATCCGAATTTTGCTCAACCCAAAGAAATTGATTTGATTTTAGGAGCTGATTATTTTTTCTCCGTTTTAAGATGTGGCCAAATATATGGTTCGAAAAATGAGCCTGTAGCTCAAAATACAATTTTCGGTTGGGTGATTGCTGGGAAGGTCGGAAATAATATGGAAGGCCCAAAACAACAGCAAATTCACACTTCATAAAGCTTAGAAGATAATATAAATATTGATTACGAACTTAAGCGTTTCTGGGAAATGGAGGATATTGTCGATGTTGGGAAGAAGGAATTTCTGACACCTGAGGAACAATTTTGTGAATCACATTTTCAAAACACTCATTCTGTTAATTCAGATGGGCGATTTGTTGTAAAACTTCCATTTTATAAATCGCATTTGAAGTTGGGTGATTCAAAACCGGCAGCAATTTCTAGGTTGCGTTCCATGGAACGAAAATTCAAAGATAATCCGGAATTTGAAAAACAGTATAAAGATTTCATACATGAATATGAACAGTTAGGACATATGACTGTGATTAATGATGATTTATCTAACAGATCAGACATAGAAAAGTTTTATCTTCCTCATCATGCGATCATTAAACCTTCTAGCACAAGGGCAAAATTAAGAGTAGTTTTTGATGCATCATGTAAATCTGGAAAACAGTATATCACTGAATTTTCTTTTAGGGGTAGGTCCAAAATTACAAAGAGACATTTTTGAAATTTTGATTAATTTTCGATTTCCTAAAATTGCTTTCACAGCCAAAGTGGAGAAGATGTATCGTCAGGTGATGGTAGCCCCTTGAAGATCAGAATTATCAATTGATATTTTGGCGATACAATTCCAGTGATAAAATGTACACGTACAAGTTGAATACAGTTACGTATGATCTTCCCTCTGCTTCATTTTTTGCAACTCGATGTCTGAAACAGGTAGCTTTAGATTCTAAAGAGGAATCAGATGTATATCGTATATAGAGGATATGTATATAGAGGATATGTATATGGACGACTTATTGTCGGGTGCAAATACAGTTGATGATGCAGTATCTGTCTGCAAGAAAATATCTTCAATTTTACATGCACGTGGTTTTGATTTGAGGAAGTGGAATTCAAATTCTGTAGAATTCTTAACTGAATTTAAGGAACATTGTTCATTGAATTCTGATTTCGAGATATCTCCTAATTCGAGTTCGAAAGTCTTAGGACTTTTTTGGAATTCAACTACTGATACCTTCAGTTTTAAAGCTACACTGCACATCAACGCACCTATAACAAAGAGACGCATATTAGCAGAATCTGCTCGCATTTTCGATCCTTTAGGTCTCTTATCTCCTTGCACTATATTGATTAAAATATTCTATCAAAAGCTATGGTTAGTTAAAGGCGACTGGGATTCAGTTGTTCCCCAGCATATCTCAGATGATTGGTTTAAATTTCAAGAGACATTCAGTCAAATCAATAATTGTGAAATTCCGAGATGTGTCATACTTACAACGGACAGTGTTATCCAACTACATGGATTTTCTGATGCATCTTCGCAGGCCTATGCAGCAGCCATTTACTGTCGCCAAAAATGCAATGGTACGGTTAAGGTTAATCTTTTGGTATCAAAGACTAAAGTCGCGCCTATAAAGCAAGTATCCATTCCTCGATTAGAACTCTGTGCTGCGTATTTGTTGACCAGATTAATGCGATCTCTATTGAACATTTTAAAAAGAGTTTTAAAGATTTTGAAATCTATGCGTGGACGGATTCCAAGGTAGATCTGTCTTGGCTATCTGCTCATCCACGTAAGTGGAAAACTTGTGGCAAACAGAACATCTCAAATCATAGAAGTGATACCTATTAAACATTGGAATCATGTTCCCTCTAAACAGAATCCTGCAGACATTGCTTCTCGTGGTATTGAACCTCAACTTCCTACCAAATTTTACTTTGTGGTGGAATGGTCCACCATGGTTTGCGTCAGGAAGAGGAAAAATGGCTTAGATATGAATTAAGAATCTGAAGATGATACTGAAGTAAAGGCTGAACAAAGATCTGATCCTATTTTTATTTCTCATATACGTGAATCGAATGATTTATTAGCTAATTTGTTCGAGCATTATTCTTCGCTCGTTGTAAATTGTTCGTATTCTGGCTTACTGCCAAAGATTTATTACTAATTGCAAAAAGCATCATGTTACTCAGAACATTTCACGTAGTGGTATTATCTCCAGCTGCTAACATTTCTAGAGATTAGAGTAGCAGAAAAGTTCATTATTTGTTGGATTCAGGATCATTATTTCGAAAATGATTTGCAATTTATTAAGGAAAATAAACCTTTACCCAAGAAGAGCCAATTACATTCTCTATATCCATTCGTAGATAAAGATTTTCTCTTACAAATTGCATTTTATACCACCTGCTTCAGCCCACTTCGTAGGAATATGGGAAGGCGGCATTCGCTCAGCGAAATTTCATCTGAGAAGAGTATTGAAAGAGTCTCTTGACCTACGAATAGTTGTCAACGCTACTTACCCAGATCGAGGCTATTTTGAATTCGCCTCTACTAACTTACGTGAACGATTCTGATATTGACTCTAGTAATGTTTTAACCCCTTCTCATTTTATTAAAGGTCATACTTTGACTTCCTTTCCAGAGACACATCAGTCTGTTCACACAAGGAGTTCTAGGTGGAAACTTTTACAGAATCTATGACGCGGATTTTGGAATTGCTGGAAAAGGGAATACTTGAGTTCTCTTCAGCAAAGATCTAAGTGGCAGCATACTAAACCAAACTTGAAGGTCGACACGGTGGTTCTTGTCATTGAAGATGGATCTCCGCCTTTAGCTTGGCCTATAGGACGGATCATCGATGTCCATCCAGGCAAGGATGGCTTAGTTCGCGTAGCTACAGTCAAAATTAAAACTGGTGTCTTCAAAAGACCAATTAATAAACTTTCACCTTTGCCTGTGTATCAGGACTAAACCTGATAGAGTGGGAGCATGTTCATTTCCACGCCTATCGAATTAATTTCCACCTTCTCGTTGCCCTGCATTGGCAACACGTTTTTGAGATTTGTTGTTCATACAATTTGGTCGCTAAAAGCATAGCTGACCTGTAACGGCTGTAATTCTTATTTTAAAGCTTATCTGTACTGCTGAATTATTACTAGATGTTTACGTATAATTTTTTTTATTAAATGTATTCAGTTTGGTTTAAATAGACCGAGAATGGTTGAATTTATTAAGGATATTTAAAATCGAAACTACACCATCCATTTCGGTGCCATTCTAACACAGGAACGTACACAACATGGCCATCTAAGAGAGGGGCATAATTTTTCTTCACACCTAGCACTCTTGAAAACAACCCCATAGGTCATTATTAAAATGTTTAAATTACACAATAATTAACAAAATACATAGATAACATTAATGAAAGTACGAGCATTCAATTAACATGTAAGCACCTATATTTCTCAAACAGAAGAAAGAAAAAACATTTTTAGATTTCAATTGAAAATTTACTTCACTTACAGGATTAATAGTGTTGATAAGTTTTCTTGGCTTGCTAAATTGGATCATACTCTCCTTCAAATTATTCAAAGGCCCTTCTACGAGAACCTTATTTTCTTTGTAAAAAGTTAAAAGATGATTCCACAGTGTTTGCTGTAAAAACAAAGTATTTATATGGGTTTAACATAAAAATACATATAATATGAAATGTATGAACAAAATATCATACTTTAATGATGTAAAATACTTTATTATAAAAAGTATTCTCGTATTACATGTTTATAAACTATTAAAAATATATGAAATAATTATCTGATAAAATTTTCATTTTACAAGAAGGTATTTTATAGGTTAAGTTCAAAAAGATTTTTCACTTTAAGTGAAAATCTTCACTGTGTGTTCAAAAAACAAAATATATTGCTTCTCAGAACACAAAGTAAAAATATACATATGTACATACCTTTTTAAACTTCACATACCCACGGTAATGAAAATTTCACATAGCAAAGCTCCAGAATTTTATACATAAGAATGAGCTTTTCACAAACATAACTTCACTTAATTATTAGGAGTGCAATGTGACAATTTTTGGTAGTTGCTTACAATACTGATGTAAGTGCTTTTTTAACAAAAGTGATATCCAAAAAGCCATATTTCCCTTTAATGCACAAACAAAACTGTATTTTAATTGGTCAGCAAACTTATGAATATTTCATCCACTCTCCTTTCCTATGAACAGCATAACACATTAGTCACACAATTAATTCTCTTTAGGTTTCGTACCTATTTAATTCATAAAACTGCAGGACATAACTTCTGTTTATGGACAGTAGAAACTTTACAAAAGAGGTAGCCAATTGATGAAAGAAGTATCCTAGTAGTCCATCATATGCTGACTACTACAATTTTGGAAAGGAGACAAAAAGACCAATAAAGCAACTTTTAGGCTATTTTAGAAACTAAACAGGCAGAGCATAAAATTTTCAATTCATTAATATTCAAAGCATCAAATTTTACCCCTTTAATATCTTTTCCCTTCCTACCACATTTTGTGTGTGTGTTCCAAATTACTTGTTCATGATATACATAAAAATAATTCATACATGAGTTATACACTAAAGCCCCCTCGCATTTAACTAGTTTACAAATACACTTTCAAGAAATACTCTAGTGTTTGTCGAACTATTTTGAGCTCTACAAGAAGTGTGCAAACTCAAAGAAGTATGAAAGCATAATCAGATCTATTTCATTTTACTTCTGCAAATAAAATAATGCTAGGAATTTACAGTTTTATTTAATTTAAAAAATACTTACTTTAGATAAAACCTTTGGATTGCCCACAATGATTATGCCATACCTGAAACACAAAAAAATTACATAATTCTAGCATGTGTTTTAGCATATTTATTTATTTTTAAGGTCTTCTTTTATATATATAAAGGCACAGTGCTAAAGAATGCAGTATCCAAAAGGTCATTTTCATCATGATACATACAAAGGGTGGGATGCTAGTTGGACTGCTCATAAAATTCATACACCATGTAAAACGTGATGCTTCTGATAACACAATTTGACGGTGATTTTAGAAGCATCAAAATTTCAGCCTCCAAGATTACACCCATTCTACATAACCACTCACTGCGAACAAGGACTTATTAAAGAAACTACAGTTGAAAATCCAAGTTATGCAGTTCAAGAACCATCAGACAGACTATATATTCTGAAAAGTACAGTATATGATCATTTGAAGAAAACTGGGTACATAAGCAGCTAAAATGTATTGTTACCCTTTACTTTAACAGAGTAGAACATGCTGGCTCAAGTTTAAGCACAAATGGCAGTTGTAAATTGAAGCAAAGTACCCAAAATTCACCAATCTTTGAGATGCTATCTCTCATCGATTTCAGCTGTCTGAGAAATGGCAAAAAGTCATATAATAAAATGCTGTGCTTATGTTATTCAATGAAAGTTTCTTAGGTTTGTGTACTCCTTTATTTGCATTTATGATTTAAAAAAAAAAAAAACCCACCACAAAACCTTTTGGATGATCCAATAATAGGAATCAACATAATATAAAATCATTTTAAATATAACATCATGCCACATCAAGAAATGCAACACCTAAAACTTACATGTTATTTGAATTCCATGAACCAAATTTAATAGTTTTGTAAAATGGGTTACTTTAAAGCACACTGTGACCAATAAAATTAAATATTTCATTTATATGTAAAAATTTTGCAATGAACCAAAAAAAAAAAAAATTGTAGAAATACTTTAAACTCAACAACCATAATAATAAGCTAAATTACCTTGCTCTAGTTAGAGCTACATTTAAACGGCGAGGATCATTAAGAAAACCTATTCCTTGATGTTCATTGGAACGAACACAGGACATAATAATTAAATCCTTTTCTCGGCCTTGAAAGGCATCAACACTTGCTACTTCTATGTCCTATAAATAAAAAATTGGAAAATGTTCATATAAGTACAAATTATAATAAGACACACGCATTTTCATGCTTTTAATATATATTAAGCTGAAATCCAAGCTATCACTAAATATCATAACAATACCAAAATGAATCATGAATTTCATCAGAATAATAACAACTTTTATTTCAAACTTATCTATACCTGGAAAATTAAACTGCTATTGTATATGGAATAATACATAATCAATTAAAAATTTTAATTTTGAATATTAAATGTAAGCTTACTTACCTGGTAGAGTTTCGCATGTAATGAACCATTATACTGCATATATTGCACTAGATAAGCTCTCTGACCTTCATATGGTGTAATTATGCCTATCTGTTCAGGTTTTACACTACACTTTAAAAACCTTGTGGTAAGCCTTTCAACAAGTGCTGCTTCAGTTCTGAAAACAACATTAAAAAAAATCAAGAAAATGAATGAAAAATATTAATTATACAATACATTACATTTAAATTACACTTAATAATATTAAAGAATTAAGTAAACTGGTTAATTTAAAATTTAAGATAATCAACTTTTACATAATGAGTAATCTGTAATAAAATAAAACAATGTAAACAATTGTAAAATAAAATGTCATTTATTAAACTTAATCCTATCCATTACGATTCTGAATCACATTTTGACAGTGGTAAGTTTAGGTTTAAAAAATAAGGAGTGTTTAATAATAGGAAGAAACATCATAAAACTATCACTGAGAATTATGAAGAAAAAGTATGAAAAAAAATCAGATAAGGAAACTGGTGAAAAAGTTACAAGTAATTTAGCTAAAAATGATGATTTTATTATTTTTAAAGCAAAAAATTCAATTATTTTTAAAGCAAAAAATGTACAATTTACAAACATATAAGAGTAAAGAAACTGAGATCACTGAGCCGGGTAACAGAGTGGATATATATATATATGAAAATCATGGGGAAGATATAAAACTAGAAGTTATCATAATAGACAATCATAATATTCTTGTCTACAAGCAAGACACAAGAAAGAAAGAAAGAAAATAAGAAATTCAAAATTCAAATGAATAAATACCTTGGGTATAAAATGCCTGCATGCAGCTACAAGATTTCCTGACGGTAGACAATGTATGTCTCAGAGTCATTTTCAAATTTTGAGACAATATCTTTATGTGAACAATAATAAAAAAACACCCCTATGATCAAACAGGTCATGGCAGACTATATACACCTAGACCACTGATAAATGCACTTAATGAAAACATAAAATTAGATAAAGAAGAAAATATCAACGTTGATGAATTTAAAATACAATCCAAGGGTCGAAATAGAATAAAGCAGAATTTCAAAAACAAGCAACATGAGTGTGGCATAAAAAATTTGCACTGTGTCAAATAATAAGCATTTGACATGAAAAGCTTCGAAACAATTTTTTTCCTGCTTTTCATACAAAATAAATAATATCCAGGCATTGAAATAGTTTTAACGAAATGTTGTTTAGCATTAGCTATTATGTCTATTAAGCTTAAACTTGGTTATTTCCTTTTTATAAACCACATTATATTTTAAAATATACTAAATATATATATTTAAATTATTTAGCATCAACCCCTTATTGATTCCAAATGGCACCAATTCCACTTTGACTTGTTCACCACTTAATTCCCAATGCCATTTGGATTCGTTCTGACTTTTAATTAAAAAAATCTGATGTGTACACCACATGACTTCCTTGTACGAAATATTAAATTATATGCATTTTTTCTTGCATTTCATTTAAACTTATTGGATTGAATTAAATCTACTTCGCCGACAGCGCATAAACCATAATAGAATAAATGCATTCTTTAAAATTCTAGTATTTGTTTACCATAACGACACTCTGGCGCTAGATTCACTTAACATTATTAATAATTATATGACAGTTAACTTATATAATAATTATATAACGGAAACTAAGTTAACTATTATATAATCCAATAATTATATAACAGTTAACTTATATATTTCGTTCACATTATAACTCATAATGCACAAAATTTATATCATTTAAAGAATAGAATTATCTAATCGTTGCCACATGTTCTATTCAAATACTATAATAAAGCTAGAATGATGTATAAAAGAAATTAAGCAAACAAAACAAAAAAGAAACAGTTTTTCACAGACGATTGAGTATTTCTCATTTAATTAATTCAGTTCTCACTTCTCGAGAAGGCAAAAATGCATAAAAACTCAAAATATCTATATTAAATATTACGAAGTAAATCTTGAACACTTATTTCCTCGAAAAAATTCCAGAAAGAATTAAGCATGATTTAATTGGCAATAATAAATGAATGCGTTATCTTTGTTGTTGCGAAGCTTAGTCTCTCTAGATTGGCAACAAATCCACCAGTCTCTGTTTCAAATGTAAACATCAATGGCCGCCATATAAAAAAGGCTTAGCAACACTTAGACAACTTTAAAATTGTTGATAATTCTAAAAATATTGCATACAGATTTATTAAAGGCATAAAAACCTTAACCGGAAGATAAAAACAACATAATACAATTATTTTTAAAGCAAAAAATGTACAATTTACAAACATATAAGAGTAAAGAAACTGAGATCACTGAGCCGGGTAACAGAGTGGATATATATATATATAAATATATTTATATACGTTTGGTGCGCCGATTGCAACCAAAATATGAGGTGCACATCTACATGTTATAGCAGTCCTATATACAAAATTTCAACGTTCTGAGGCTACTCTTTTTTTAGTTATGCGAGATACGTACGTACGCACACAACGAAAAATTCTCTTCAGAATTAATTTTAAAGCAGTTTTATAATTTTTTTGAAGGAAAAGAGTACTTTATTCTGTCCTTACGTACAGATATTACACAAAAACATCGTTAATTGCATTCGATAGCGGTCAAAATGGATATTTTCGTTGAAATATGCTGCCTGAAACTTTTCACGATTACAATACTTCCTTTTTACTTCGTACAAGGAAGTAAAAATAATGCTGGAAAACAAAAGATCAACCGTTTGGAGTCATTTCGCCAAGGCAGACCAAAATTATGCATGCTGCAATGAATGCAATCAAAAATTTTCATTTTAAATGGAAATACGTCAACAATGTGTCATCATCTAAGCAGTGTTCATAACATTGACATTGGCAAAGCAGAAGAAACGACGACAGGTAAAAAAACAAAAACTTTGGATAATTTCGTAATCAAAACATCAATTGAAGAGATTGTTGCAAAAATGACTGCAGTAGATGGTTTATCAATTCGTCAAATCACTCAGTCAGAGTTTATTGGACAGTCATTGGCCTTAAGGGGTATGAAGCTTCCAGCCAACGAAAAATCTGTAATGGTTCTTATTCATTACCACATGGAAACTGCGAAACAAAAAATCAAAAATGATATTAAAAAAAGATATTGCCGAATCAAAGAAATTCTCCATTACCATGGTGAATGGACCAGCATCGGTAACTGGAGATTCCTGAACATAAATCTGCATACTGCCTTCTAAAAAGGCATCAGTCTTGGACTGGTAAAAACTTTTCGAAGTTGTGATGCAAAAAAAATGCAATAACTTGCAGAAGAGCACCTCAGATCTTTTGGTCTATCATTTAAGCACAATACTGTATCCACTACTGGAGATGGAGCCAGTGTTATGTTCAAGTTCGGAAAAGAATCACCTGCTTTTTATCAAACATGTCTTGCGCATGCCTTGCATATGGCTGTTACAAAAAATTTTTATAAAGAAAAATCAGGGACAGAAGAAAATATAGACGAAAGTTCAGGAGAGACTGATCATTTTGATAATGGTTTGAGCATTAATGAAATTGAATTACAGAATGAATCGTTCAAGGAAAACATAAATATTGTGAGACAAGTTGGAATTTTTTTCAAAAATTCTGTTGTGTGTTCAGATTTGTTCATGTCTAAATGTAGAGAAAAATTACAGATAGAGCAGGAACTCTCCCTGGATTGTAAAACCAGATGGAATTCAATGCTGAAAATGCTTGGAACATTTGTAAAATTGTATGACGTTACAAAGGATGCACTCATTGAACTTGGATCTGGTTAAGCGGCACTTAACACTGTAGGTGAAAAACAAGCCACTTTACGAACAGCATATATTTCTATCAACTTTATGGGAGAGAAGTTAAGTGAACAAGAATCTGAAATAAGTAGTTCTCTTTCTGAAAATATTGATTGTTACATCAATAGCAGGATCAACGAAAACATGATAGATTTGACTAAACAACTAAAACGCCATCAAAAGCTTATAGAACTAGCAGCTGCTTTGATGAAGCGTTTATTTCCGTCACCAGATTCATCAAATGAAAAATCAAGCAGTGAAGCAGAAACAACTAACAAAGTTGGTGTTTCTCTTGAAGAACAACTTAGAGTACTATTAGAAGCTCCAACCAGCAAAGTACCAGAAGGTGACCGCTTTAAAAAATTAAGCCAAGAATTTACTTTGTCAAAAAGTAATGGTGAATTGACCGTATATTTAAAGCTGTTACTCGAAGCTATTTACAGTATAAAACCAACGTCAATTGATTCTGAGAGGGCATTTTCCGTGGCCAACAATTTTTGCACCAAAATTGGGTCGAAGCTCTCAGATAAATTACTCACTACATGCACTGGTGTTTTTAAAATATTTTTCATTAATATAAATGCATAAGTACAGAAAAAGTTTCTTTTAAATTTCAAAAAAATAATATTTTAATTATAAGTCCATTATAAGTCTTTTGATAATGTAAGTATGTCAACTTCAAGTGCTCGAAAGTACGAAAAAACAACCAAGCTCAAGCTCGAGCTTGAGCTTAATAATCATTGATAATGTAAGTATGTCAACTTCAAGTGCTCGAAAGTACGAAAAAACAACCAAGCTCGAGCTCGAGCTTAACCGAGCTTAATAATCATTGATAATCATTGATAATGTAAGTATGTCAACTTCAAGTGCTCGAAAGTACGAAAAAACAACCAAGCTCGAGCTCGAGCTTAACCGAGCATCAAATCATCGAGCTTACCAAACCCTACTAAATAGGTATATTTCATAAGCTTTAGATTTTAAGAATGAAAAGAATTTTTGCGGCTGAAAGGGTTAATATGTGAACTCGGTACCTTTAATACTGCTGAAAGTACAAACAGAACACTCCTCCTGTTAATAAAATTTCAAATCATTCAGGGTTCAAACCAGAAAAAACATATGCTGGCTTGAAAGTTGTAATGCTATATTAGCAAAGTATATATTTGTTTCATTGCCCAATCCCTATATGTATAGCATTCCAACTATATTTTATACACTGCCTATTCTTTTATCTTACACAGCCATTTTACTTTTACTTTTTTTTTTTTTTTTTTTTTTTTAAGATAACTTAAGCAGTGTTTTAAAACAAGAGATTTCATCACATTAAAAATATTAAACTGAAAATCTTTGCCAAGACAAAAATGTCTCTGAGTCAGGCTCTGCCTACTGATATATCTTCTTTAAATTAAGATGCAAAAAATGTTTGAAAGCATTAAAAATTGATATTATTTACACTGAAATAAATTTTACTAAGGAAGAATGGAATACTGCTTGTAAATGCCTCCAATTAAATGACAGAAATGGGACAGGCTAAAATACAACTGACACATTCTACACTTATACTTAACTGGTCATTTCAATGCATCCGTAATGTTGAGCATAGACTTAACCTTTACCACTGCTCTGTTTTCCCCAAGCATCTTTACTACAACATAAACTGAAGGAAAGAGTTATTTTCTTGCATTATATTAAAATTTGTGTTTTACTGATGTAATACATATTAAATACGAATGCTAAAGGAATTGTGACACTGTCAAATGGTAACTTTGTTAATGCAGCTAAAAATAAAATTCTGTACACACCTGTTCAGATAAGATGTTCCTGACCCAGCAATTTCTTCTTGTCCTTGACAAGCATAAAAAAACATTGGTTTATCAGGTTGAGGCCATGGGAAATCAACACCTTTCATTTTCCTCTCATCTGTAAATGAGAAGGCATTACATTACGGTTCAAAAAAAAAAAAAACTTTACCAAGTATAAAATATATAGAATTGGAAACATATTTTATTAAATACAATAATGCAAAATGATTCATAAAATGTATCAGTTAGATATATTTAGACAAATTAATAAAATAAGCTAAAAAATTATGATGTAAGATACTGGTCACCAGTAAACTAGTTTTACAAACATTGATGGTCTTTTGAGGTCAAATCAGAAGTCACCAGTGTGGGTAAGTGCAGTTATTTTATGTAGGATTTTAATGTTAAAAACCTAAACTTAAGGATGTGTTGGCCACTGGTGAAGCTACAGTTTGACAGTTACTGGGAATAACTCACAGGTCAACAGATCATCAGCTTATTTGCACAGATTTTTTTCAATTCAAAACAAATAAATTAATTTGTTAATTTAAAGATAATGTTGCCAACGAAAGCAACCAGTTACTGATGACCTACAATATGAAGATCACTAATGATAACTAACTGTTCACTAGTCTGAGTTAGCGCAGTTAATTTAAATAATCAATGCAATTAATTAAAACAATGCACACCAGTGTCAGTCAAAGCTATTGACCACTGGTGACCTAAAGGATAGCAGTCTGTAACAGGTAACAGATTATTAATGTGAGACAGTGTGGACAATTTGCACAAACTTTTAAATTCTGATTTAACAGAAAGGCACCAATGTCATTCAAATGAGCTAAACATTAATGATTTATGGATTAGTCACTGTGGACACTGCCAATCAATTCAGAGGTCACAAGAGTAAGGTGCACCAAATTCCAAATTTAAATAGATTAACATCATATTTTTTTCAAACACTCTATTAAGGGCTTTTCTAATGTAAATATACATTTCTAATGTAAACACAGACATTGGACTCTCCTTAGTGGATTCATATAGTTCTGAAAAAAATTTACACAATTGAAACATTTGATTTCTGTTAACAGGGCACCACTTAACCAAACATAAACACTGGCATGAAATCTAACTAGATGGTGGTAACCATCTTAATGCTCAATGTGAGCAACGCCAAATTGTGTATTCTCTGCATTTTTCAAGTGTTATAAAAGATTGCTGAGTACATAGGCTGAATAAAACTGTCATTCCATGTACGCAACAATCAGTTTTGATTTTTTTTAAAAAAAAGAGAGAGAGAGAAAGAAAAAAAAAAAAAAAAGAATTGCATAAATTTAGCCTCGGGCATAATTTCAACAAAGAACAGCTATTTGCATTTCAACTCAAAAGCTACTGAAAATTTCGGACAGAAAATTTTTGAATTGATGTTCATTCTACTCGCTTGTTCACAATGATGCTATTGCCTATGTGATGGAAATAGGCTACCACATTTGGTGTTCTGACACACATTTGGCAACTGGTGTCCCTTTAACAGAGAGCAGTCAAAATAAACAATATATATATTTACATATATAATTTTTAAACTAACCTGCATACACTCCATTCTGCAGAGAGCCTTCGTAAAAGAAATTTGAGGGAAATTTACTGAGCTGAGGATGCATCCGATACTGAACTTCCAATCTTAAGGGACGAATACCTAATACAACTAATCTTTCAAATAAGGATTGCGAAAGACCAGCTCGTGCTGCTTTTTTACACATCACAACAGGACCAAGTTGGCAGTGATCACCAACAAGTATTAACTACAAAATAAGAACATATAAGTGAAGCATAATAAATAATCACATTAAGGTTTGTAATATAAATTCATCAAGCTCAGCCCATACTTCATAATTATGCCAATAATTATTTATGCTCAATACTGGCGGGGATTTCAAGTTTCTGGCAATTTTACGAACCCTCATTAAAATATCCTGGACAAGCAGTTTATAAGATGTTGAGGAAATGCAGTTTCTGTTATTATTATTAAGTACTCACATATAAGGCACAAATTCTCTATGCATATCATAAATTTAGAAATAATTACTGCAACACTTTAAAGCAATTTTTCTATTTAAAATATATATGTTCTGAATTTAAATACCTCCTAATTTTTAAAAAGTTATTATCTGCACTAGATGAATTCAGATGTCATTCAATTTAACAAAAAATTATCCTAACTGAATGCTGAAAATCATATTTGACTTTATCAGGAAATACAGCACTATCAACAACTGTATCAGGAAATATAAGCATTATCAAGACAAAGCCACTAATCATTATTTCACCTATTTTTATCCACTGCCTACCCCCAACTAAGTTTTAAAAAAATGTGAAATCTACATATTTCAATTAAAATTATATTATACTTTTTAAACAACTTAAATATGCTTAAAATTTGCATATGGCCAAAATATTTAACTTTTCACTTTCAACCTAGCCATGCAGTTTGGTGTAATAATAATAACAGAGTTACATACATAAAGCAGAATTATCGAAATAAAAATTTAAAACAAAAAATTATTTAACAAACTCATGCATGTATTTTTTATAAATTTTCCACTTTTTACTGCAGTGTGAAACTAAAAATACTGTTACGAATTTGGTATTTAAAAAGCTAATGTTAGTTCAATTATAAATTAAATGGTTTTATTTCTCGCGCAGTGCAGCGCGTGACGAATATTAAAAGAAAGCTAAGCCGGAAAAATTAAAAATACAAGAGCGCGTGCGTTAAATAAATAAATATCTCTTTTTGATTTCGAGAAAGTACTGGAAAATTCTAGCGCGTGATTTTAAAATCTTATAAAAGGAGGAAAACATCTCAGTTTGTAGAGATGCTTAGTTTGTTGTTGTTTAGAAAACTGCCATTGTTGATTATAGTGAATTCGCGGATTAGCGTTCTTTAGCTGTTTTGAATTACGTTCTATTGTACATTTAAGTAGTTAAAAGATAACTACTGTGAGATATTGTCATACTGCATGATAATTTGAGAAAATTTAAGCATTTCTGTTGTGATAATAATAAATTTTTGTTCATTTTTCATCGGACTTGTGCATTCATTTCATAACGAACCCGTACGCACGCAACAATTTTTGGTGTCAGGAGTGGGGTTTTGAATGCCAATAACAAGAGGGATGGAAGAACAATTGAGACAGCTCATTACTGCTTTTGCTGCTTTCCAAGAAAAGATGGAAGCTGGCCAAACATCTTTTAAAGAAGAAATGAAATTGGGCCAGGAATCCGTTAAGGAAGAGATGAAATCTCTTAAAAATGAGATGAAAGCAGGTCAGGACGAAATGAAAAGAGAAATTACCTGCGTAATAGAAAATAAATTTGAGGCTATGGAAGGCAGAATAGACGCGGTTGAAACTAAAGTTGGACATATAGAAGAGAGAGTTTCTGCCGTCGAACAACAAATTGATGATAGGGTTTCTGCTGCCATCGCCAAAGAAGTTGACAGCCTAAAGAAGTGCATAGCGACGGTAGGAAACAATTCTGAAGGTTTCAAATTTTTATCGATGCCTGCTCGTTCCGTTCTGAAACTATCTACATATGATGGGAAGACCTCCTGGCAGGTGTATAGGACACAATTTTCTATCGTTGCGGATGCGAATGGGTGGGATTCCCAAGCTAAGGCCTGTCATCTCGCCGCTTCTCTGAGAGCAGACGCAGCGGATATCCTGCAGCAGACGCTTCCCGAAAATCAAAGGCTAGATTTCGAAGCTCTATCCGGCGCTTTGGAGCTGCGCTTCGGCGAGAAATGTTTAAAAGACTACAGCAGGCTCCAATTAAAATCTCGTCAACAGAAGCTCACCGAAACGCTTCAGGAGCTCGCCACGGATGTTGAAAGGCTGTCACATCACGCCTTTTCAGAGTGCCCGACAGAAACAAGGGAAATCCTGTCCCTGCAATATTTCATCGATGGCATCCGGGACCCCTGAAATACAGAAAGCACTGCGAATGGCGGATGTTAAAGATCTGAAAAGCGCTTTAGTGTATGCCATGAAATTTGAGGCAGCCCAGCAAGCCACCCGTCGAGACCGCCATCCCAGTCAGAGCTGCTCAAGTCCAGGAGCCAGGGGATCAAGTCACTGCTCGTCTAGACGATTTAACTAGACAACTGAACGCCTTGAGACGAATATTGGTGACAAGAAACCGACCGTAAAGTGCTGGAACTGCGGTGCTGAAGGACACATCCGACGAAACTGCAGAACACCCCAGGGCACGGATGCTTAAGACCGCTCCTAACAAACAGCAGGGAAACTAATTAGTGGCCATCTCGCGGGGCGGAGGTTGCCAGATCAATGAAAAGCCCCAGTTTAAAGCGCTTCAGATTTCTGCAGTGAGAGGCGGCAGTAATGGACTTTTCATAATAGGACATATTAATGGAGTTCCCTGCAATATGACGATAGATACAGGAGCCAACGTTACCATCATCCGAAAAGATTTGGCTCAACAACTGGGAAGCAAACTTATCTGGACGCCGCCCTGCGTTACCCTACAGACTGTGTCCGGTGAGAAGATCAACATCGATGGAAAAGTAAATGTAACATCACGTTTGGAAGTGCCGCTTACCATCACACGGCATATGTAGCAGAGATCACTGATTCTTGCATACTCGGATTGGACTTTCTAAGGAAATACAATTTTTCCTTGGACTTTAAAAATAACGAATTGCATTCTACATCTGAGGACATAGCGTTATTTGGAGTTAATGATGAAGTTAAATCTGTCCATAAAATCATAGCACAAGACAATATCACAATACCGGCAAGAACAGAAATTTTACTTCCTGGATCCATAGCCGAAAACAGAAATTTCCGCTACGGCATCATAGAATATCCCAATAACTGTAATAGCCCAAAAGGAGTACTAGTAGCCTCAACACTCGTCGACCTATCCAGAACGGTTATCCCGGTGAGAGTCGCCAATGTAACTGAGAAGGGAGAATTATTAAGAAAGGTGAAGTGGTTGCAGCATGTACTCCAGTAACCACCGTTGAAAGAAAGAGTAACATCCAAGAATCCGTGTCCTCAGAGAGAATTACATCGGAGTTATTGCAGAATGCGCAATTAAACGATGAAGAGAAGAATGCTGCCGATCGCGTTATTAAAGATCTTCAAGTTGTTTTTTTTCGCTCGTCTTCTGACGTGGATCGAACTAGTTTGACACAACATAGAATAGATACCGGCGATCATCCCCCGATCAAGCAACATCCAAGACGTCTACCGTTTGCTAAACAGGAAGAGGTGCGAACACTGTTAAAAGATATGGAAGAAGGCGATGTCATCGAGCCTTCAGCAAGTCCATGGGCATCTCCCATCGTTCCTCAGTCAGAAGAAAGACGGCTCAACAAGATTTTGCGTTGACTATCGCCGGTTGAATGAGGTTACGAAGAAAGACAGTTACCCTCTTCCTAGAATTGACGACATTCTAGACACTCTTTCTGGAAGCAAGTGGTTCTCAACACTTGATTTAAAGAGTGGGTATTGGCAGGTAGAAATACACCCTGAAGACCGAGAAAAGACGGCATTTACTACGGGACAAGGGCTTTGGCAATTCAAGGTGATGCCGTTTGGACTGTGTAATGCGCCGGCAACATTCGAACGTCTTATGGAGACTGTTTTGAAAGGCCTTTCCTACGTAGCCTGCCTGATATACCTGGACGACATCATCATCGTCGGAAAGAGTTTTGAAGAGCATCTAGAAAATCTTAGAAAGGTGCTTCAGAAACTGAAAGAAGCCAATCTGAAGCTGAGTCCCGCTAAATGCAAATTGTTCCGAAAGGAAGTGACTTACCTGGGACATGTCATCTCTGCAGAAGGTGCGTACGGATCCTGAAAAGGTATCAGCGGTTAAATCCTGGAAACGTCCCGAAAATGTCCATCAGCTGAGAAGCTTCCTAGGGCTTTGCACCTACTATAGGAGATTCGTGAAGGACTTTTCTTCCATCGCAAGACCCCTTCACAAGCTGACAGAGAGCCAACAAAAGTTCTTGTGGACAAAAGAATGCGACGGATGCATTTAACAACTTAAAGGAGGCTTTAACATCTGCTCCTGCTCCAATCCTGACGTATCCTCAGCTCGACCGACCATTTATTCTCGACACCGACGCGAGCAATGAAAGTGTCGGTGCTGTTTTGTCCCAAGAAATAGACGGCCAAGAACGTGTAGTGGCGTACTGGAGCAAGTGCCTGTCTAAACCGGAGAGGAATTATTGTGTCACCAGGAAAGAGTTGCTCGCCATAGTCAAAGCTGTAGAACAGTTCCATCACTATCTATACGGCAGAAAATTCCTGCTCCGCACCGATCATGCATCATTGACCTGGCTTTTAAATTTCAAGAATCCTGAGGGTCAAATAGCCAGGTGGATACAGAGACTCCAAGAATATGACATCACTATCCGTCATCGTAAGGGATCATCACACGGAAACGCCGACGCCCTGTCTAGAAGACCTTGCCAAGAAAGCTGCCGATATTGTTCCAGGGTGGAAGCGAAATACGAGCTGCTGACTCCGGTCGCAAGACAAATTACAACATCAACATCGGCTGATCGAGAACCGTGGAGTGATGATGAAGTCAGGAAAGACCAGCTGGAAGACCGCGACATTAAACCCATAATTGATTTAATGGAGTCATCAAACAGAAAACCTACCTGGCAGGACATTTCTATCTGTAGTCCTACAACCAAACAATATTGGGCACTCTGGGATTCACTTCACATTCGAAACGGCGTCTTATACCGGAAATTCGAATCGGATGATGGGAAGACGTTCCGATGGCAGCTGATACTTCCAAGATCCCGCATTCCTGATGTCCTTAAAGAACTACATAACAGCCCTACGGAGGTCACTTTGGAATAATGAAGACCTTACAGAGAGTTCGTGAGCGCTTTTACTGGAATAATGCAAAGGATGACGTGCAAAAGTGGTGCCGATCTTGCGATGCCTGTGCAGGTCGGAAAGGACCGAAGAGACGCAGCCGAGGCAAGCTGCAACGTTACAACGTAGGGGCGCCGCCTTTGAACGTATCGCCTTTGACATCCTGGGACCTCTGCCACGAACTGCTGATGGCAACAAATACATACTCGTTGTCATTGATTACTTGATCCCCATTTCCTGATCAAAGAGGCTGTCACAGTAGCTGAGGTAATGATACAGCACTGGATTTCCAGGTTCGGAGTGCCTCTTCAGTTACATTCCGATCAGGGAAGGAATTTTGCCTCGGTAGTAATCAAAGAACTATGCAAACTACTCGGCATTGACAAAACTCAAACGACGCCATTACATCCCCAGTCGGACGGCATGGTAGAGAGGTTCAATCGAACCATCCTTAATAACCTCTCATTAGTGGTTTCCAGAAACCAACAGGACTGGGACAAGAAATTACCACTCTTTTTACTGGCTTACCGCAGTGCTGTCCACGAGACTACCGGCTATTCTCCATCACAGATGCTCTTCGGTCGTGACCTTCGTCTGCCTTGTGATCTATTGTTTGGCCGCCCTCCGGATGCTCCTTCATCGTGAGGAATAGATCTCCAGGCCCGGTTGAAGTGCACACTTTGCACGAGAGCGAGTCAACTTGGCGACGGAGAAGATGAAGACCCGATACGACACAAGAGCTACTGAACATCAATTCCACGAAGGAGACAAGGTGTGTGGTTGTGGAATCCGACTCGACGGAAAGGACTTTGTCCGAAATTACAGTCACCTTGGGATGGCCCGTACACAGTCCTAAACAGGCTGAATGACGTCGTGGTTCGGATTCGTAAGTCTTCGAACTCTAAACCTAAAGTCGTTCATTACGACAGGTTAGCTCATTACTATGGCCATAGTACGTAATGTAAATAATTGTAAATAGTATAAGACCATGGTCCATTTTTTGTTTAAATGTGTATATTTGATTTGATTTGTATTAGTTTGTTTTGTTTAAGTTTAGTTTATTGCATTTATTGTTCATATTGTTTGATATTGTAATGTAATGTTATGCCTCAGTTGCATTTATGCCACAGTTGTAAGTTTAGCTTCCTGTCCAGGGATTGTACTGCCCGGGACGTGCAGTCCTTGGGAAGGGGGCAGTGTTACGAATTTGGTATTTAAAAAGCTAAATGTTAGTTCAATTATAAATTACAATGTGCATTAAATAAATAAATATCTCTTTTTGATTTCGAGAAAGTACTGGAAAATTCTAGCGCGTGATTTTAAAATCTTATAAAAGGAGGAAAACATCTCAGTTTGTAGTAGTTGCTTAGTTTGTTGTTGTTTAGAAAACTGCTCATTGTAGCGAATTCGGATTAGCGTTCTTTAGCTGTTTTGAATTGTTCTATTGTTACATTTGAGTAGTTAAAAGATAACTACTGTGTGAGATATTGTAATACTGCATGATAATTTGAGAAAATTTAAGCATTTCTGTTGTGATAATAATAAATTTTTGTTCATTTTTCATCGGACTTGTGCATTCATTTCATAACGAACCCGTACGCACGCAACAATACGATTCTGTAATAAACCAGACAATAAATGTATTTTACTTTTCAATGCATAAAGGAAATGGGATGAATTTTTTAAACAAAAGGACTCAAACACCAAAATAAAACCATATTTTAACAGATTTAAACTCTTCAAAGATTAAGTAGCTAACTTTTAATTACTCTTTTAAACCTGAATAAAGAACTGTAAAAAACTTTAAATTTCTAATTATGAGTTAAATATTAATATAATATACAGCCATTAATACAAATGCAGATAGATCTAGAAGAAGATCATTTCTGTGCTTTATTTCAGTTTGTCATGCAGTTTCCTAACTTTTACTAATATCTGTTAAATAAATCAATATTTAATTCCAATTTGCTCACCTGTTATCCCAATCAATAATCCAAAAACTTAAATCATTACATGTGATATGATAAATCTCAAATGAGAATAAATGCTTTTATTTAAAGATAAGTGATTTTCTTATACAAAAACATTATGCACATTTGCTTATGCACATTTGCCAAATGATTTTCTTATAACCTATGTATACTTGAAATGTGATACTTTTATTCTGCATCTCATTTCAAATATGTATGAAAGAAATAAAGGTTATAAGATAATATTTCCAATGGTTATGCTATTACAGTGAATCATGCAGAGATTTAATACACACAATACACAGATGTATGTAAATCTCTACATGATTCACTGTAATACACAGATGTGTGTATTAAACTGTGAATTAAAAAAAAAAATATCTTGTATATACGCAATTCTACTTGTATTCAGCATTAAGTATACTTTTTGAAACTGTGATGAAATACAATATTTTAAATATTTTGCTCACTTGAAGGTAATAATAAAAAAAAAAATATTTTTAAATTTACCTGTTTGGCACCTAAAACGACTGGTACCATGCATTCTGGTTCAGTAGCCTGCATGCTTTCATCGATCAGAATAGAATAAAATTTAAATCTTGCAAGACGAGGGTCCCCAGCACCCACACATGTACAGCATATAACATCTGCAGCCTATACAAATTAATTTTAATTAATCTTTAAAACCGCCAGGAAAAGAGAAAGAAAACCAGCAGAAAAAATAAACTGAATTTTTCCTATAATACTACATTTTTCTAAATCTGAGACATACTGTTTACATTATGAATACTTTTAAATAATTGCAAATTGTTACATTTTTAATGCATAAACAATTTTAGAAATTTATCAATTCAGAGGATACATAAAACTGTATGAATTTACATCAATACCTCCAAAAGTTCTTTTTCACATGCTTTCTTTAACATTCTGTATCGTTTTTCATCTGCAGATGACAATTCACCAGTTTCATCTTTCAGCTGTTGGAGTTTATGTAGTTCAGAATGTCTAAACAGGTGGAAAAAAATATTAAGTATTTTTTTTTATTATAAATGTAAAATTTTATTAACATAAATATTATCTGAACTCACCCTTCTAAGTTGCGAATCTGATTATGCAGTGCAAGAAAAGACACAGGAGAGTTGATTGCTTCACGACTTTTGGCACACAATCGAACTACCTAAAATTAGAAACCTTACTCATAAACTCTCTTCATCTTATCATAAATAATTTTTTTTTAGTCTTGGTTATACTGAACAATTACAAGCAATAAAATGCCAGAACATATGGAAGACTAGTCTAAGCAGACTAACTTCTACATTGCTGGCCATTAAAATTGCAACACCATGAAGGAAAGCAAATGAAAAAAAAAAAAATTACTGCACATAAACAAATATGTCATAAAGACAAAATGATTAAATTTCTAAGCATTTCAGATGTTTAGATGGTGCAAAATTAATAGAAACAGCTGCCACACCTGACAGCTAAAGCGGCCCTTACCCCATTACGCATGGAGTCGAACTGGGCTTGGATGACAGAAATGGGCAACTCATTCCATGCTGTTTAAAGTCTATGCCACACTTCATCAAACGTATTCGCTGGAGATGGGCCCTGGGGCAGTCTCTCAACAACCCATGGCCAGATGTTTTTCAATGGGTGACAGATTTGGAGACCATGCAGGCCAGGGCAGCAATCCAATACCCTGTGCATCGAGAAAGGGCAGAACGGGATGTGAAACATGTGGTCTTGCATTATCTTGTTGGAACATGGTGTTTGGAGGCCTCGGAGATAAGGCACAACCACTGGACATAAGAAATGTACCTGTGTTCATTTTACCATTGATTCAAAATAGAGATGTGCATGTTGTGTACCCAATGGCTGCCCAAACCATCACACCAAGTGCAGGGCCCAATGCCTATATCAAATGCAAGCAGGTGACGTGAGGTTTCCTCGTACACACCAGACACGTATACGGCCATCAAGACAGTGTACGTAGAACTGGCACTCATTTGAAAATGCGACATTTTGCCACTCCTGCACCCAGCTTTTTTGTCTGGTGAACCAGAGTCATCGTCTCTCTCTCTATGCTGCATTTTCAAGGGAAGCCAAAGTAATGGTCCCCCTGCTTGATAGTTCATGCTGCTGCAAACATCGATGCACCTTAAGAGCTGATACTGGGCATGTTGCAAATATACCCATTTCCTGACTAATGGTCCCTGATGTACTCGCACAGTTTTGCAGAGCTGACTTCACAATATGTCTGTCCTCTCTGGCATTAGTTGGGGGGGGGGCCGTTCAGATCCTGCATGCTGTTCAGTGTGACCATCAGCAATCCATTGATTCCATATTTGCATGACAGTGGTTGGATGTCATCCATTGCGATCGACAATATCACGGAATGATAATCTGTACTTCCGATAGGCAACGATTCTGCCTTTATCGAATTTTGAAACTTACTGATATCAGGGTTGCCACTCAAACAGGAGAATGAAATTCCCCGACTTTTCCAGGTTTTTCAGGTATGTTTCGAGAAAATTCCAGTCTATCCGTGTAATGTACGTTGGCTGTGCTAAGAGGTAAATTAATTATGGTATTACTTGTACTGTGTAGCAAATTCACTTAATTATTCAATAAATCCCAGAGGACATTTATTCTTAATTATTCTTGGTACACTTTGTTTGATAATTTTGTTTACTTTTCCGCTTAAGTATCTTAATAAAATTTAAGATATATACATTGGATAACAACTGTGCATTTTATTTAATTATTACTCATGATCATCCCCAGTTCAACACGAGGCTAATCCGGTTCTTATAAATCACAACGCAATGCTAAAAGTTAGGTTAGATTTTAGGTAAATCTAATTTGTGTGAGGTGTATTCTTAAAAGGCACCTTAACACTTGAAAACACAAATATAATTATAATAGGAGTTGTTTTCTCCACTGAAGATTGAGATTAGAATCTGCCCAATCTGGAATAAATAAGGCTTTTTTTTGCAGACATTCTGCAGCTAAACGAAAGAAAGAAATCTATTTAATGATATTTTTTTACTAAATTGAGGTATTTTATATTTATTCCACAGCATACATATGGAAAAAATATGTGCATTAAATTTCGTGATGTCATCATACTGCTAGAATTAATTTCAGGATTATGCCAGAGAAAATTTCCTGAAATTTGGAAATATTATTTACTAATGATAAATAAATTTAGAGGGAAGAAGGAACATTAAATGATATGAATAACATAAAAATAAAGATAATTACTTAAAAATTTAATTAGAATAATCAACGATATTTTAAGCGTATATAGTTATATTACATGGTTATCCTAGATGATTGATTACTATTTTTTTATTTTAGTGCAAAATGACAAAATCTTTATTTAAAAAAAAAAAAGATTTTGCGGTAAAATCCTAGTATACGATACGGCCACGCAGTATAAAACGGCCTTCGCATGATTTTGAAAATTGTCGCCAAGAACAAAATGACCCGTTTACTGCTCATCATCATGTCGCCAAATCCCGCTGTACCATACATGGAGATTATTCTGACTAAAGAACGTCTATGTAAAAAGCAGAGGGAAAATTTGTCAAGGGATTAGAAGACGGAACGGCCAGAATTTCCCTCTCCGCGATGTGTACAAAAAATTGAGAAACACATGTTAAGAAGAAACGTTCTTTGACAAAAAAGAGAACTACGAAAATCCATTTTTAAATTATTGCGAAAAATCCAAGAAGAAACGTTTTATCAAAGAACATTTTTCTTGATTTTTTCGCAATAATTTTAAAAACGGATTTTTGTAGATTTCCCCCCCCCTCAAAATAACTAATCCATGAATTAATTTACTTGTGCCAAAAAATATTTTCTTTTCCTTTAGAGTTTAAAGACATTTTAAACGATATTCATTTTATGAACTCTTGATAACGTGACCTTCGAACTTCGACACCGATTTCGAGCTTTTGGCGACAGATATATCGCGCATGCACAGCTATTTCCCGCTATGATGGAACCGAGCCACGTCTGTTGCAGAGAGGTTTTCCTTCTTTACAATACATATTTTTTTAATTCTAACCTTCATGGTACCGTATACTAGGATTAAACCCATTTTGTTTTATACAAGAACAGGTACTTTCTTTAGTTCATGCACTGCACATGCGATTCTCGAGGTTACTGGAAACCAAAAGTTGCGGGAAACTTGCTTTGCCTTTCTATCAATCAAATAAAGAATCAAATTGGAGCTGCGAAAATTGGCTCTATGCCAGCTGCCCGAATGACACTCACGTGATACACAATTCGCCAAAAAAGTGATCTCTTCCGACGTCGGCGCAAAACTTGCCTTTTTTGGCGGGATCGTTGTATGAAATTCCCTGACTTTTCCAGATTTTGACTAAAAGACTTAAATTCACTGACTTTTCCCTGAATTTTTTGGTCAATTTCCGAATTCCCTGACTTTTTCCGGTTTTCCAGGTAGCGTGGCAACCCTGTGATATGCATTTCTTCTTCTTATTCAAGGCATAATATGATATTCTGAGTAAATTCCAAAGTTACAAAGCACTTTTCAAATGAGAAGTCCACTACACAACTTTTCTTTTATACAGCTCTCTCCTGCATTGTCTAAATACGCTGAAATACTAATCATTTGCATATCCCAACTTCTTCTTCCTTTCATGTGATTTTGACATTCGTCAGATCATTCCTTCTTGGTGTTGCAATTTTAATGGCCAGCAGTGTAGATGAAAACTAGCATCTATCAAGAGTTAGAAGAATACAGATATTTGTAGCAGGGGCAAGAAAAAAAGCTAGAAATCCAAGAATATTTCATTGTTGGAAAACCTATAAAATAATCCGGTTACAGGTTTCAGAAAAAAACATAAAAAAACGGGAAAAATTTTTTCTTGATAATAATTACCAGATTCTAAATTTCTCCCCCCTCCCTCCAAAAAAAAGGTTACTATGATTTCTGGTGACAATTAATGATTAAAATAAACACAACTATTCTAATATTTCAGTTATCGATGACAGGCCATCTTATGCAATATTTTTTAACAATATTATACCTTCAACATTCAAAATTTCAATAACCTTGCTAAATACCCAGCTAATTCTCAGAAAAGTATTCTAAAACAAAAATTATGATTAAAGAAAACAAATTATATAAAGGTATTAACATTAATAAATACCATCAGTTAATCAAATCAGGTTCTCTTTAAATGAACACATAGCTACTGTAACAGCATCCAACACTCCTAAACAAGGTCTAGCTATCGGATGTCCAACAAAGGAATCCCCGATTTCAAAATTAAAAATCTTCAAAATAGAGAAATACAACAAGTGGTATATTTATTAATAAAGCTGTAAGAATGGTGTACATGAGTTTTGAAATAATTACAAAAGCTGCCAACAGATTCCGCTGTAATCGCAACACGTAGTGCATATGCACTATGTACAAAGAAAGACGTACGAACGATCAGTTCCACTGTTGAAAAGTGGAAGTAGGTTAGCATACCAAAAGAAGAGGTTGAAATCATGTATTCCGCTGAATAATGTGTGTTTCTGGTCCTGGAATACCACAGGTTAGAACACAGTCCTATGGCAACAAGGCATTGTTTTCAAACACTATTTTATGTTCCCAAAAGACCAATTGTGAAAAGCATTCGCAAGCTCTTCGCCAAATTCTAATGGATAGGCAGCGTTGTAGAGAATGTTGGTCGCAGGCAAACCATAGTTATTCCTTAAAATGTCGCCACTGTTTCTGGAATTATTCAGCAAAAACCAAGGAAATCCATCTGAAGAATTATGCAGCAGAGACTGGTTTGAAGTGTTCTAGTACACAGAAAATGTTGAGAACAGCTTAGACATATTTCCATTCAAAATATAAAGTCACCATGCAATACCCGAATGACAAAGAGGCTGAATCTGCAAACCAGATTCTCACAATGATTGATAATGAAGGATTCGATGCTTGCTGCATCTGGTTCACACATGAAGCACACGTTTACCTGAATAGATTCATACTGGTGATTTGGATGTTCTGAAAATCTTCATTTGTGTGAAACAAAACCATTGCAACCTCCCAATTTATTGTTTGGGCTGCAGTAAGCAGGAGCAGCATTATTGGTCCTTTTTTTATGCTAATGAAGATTAAAATTTGTCACTACACAGTTTAGCTGTTGAGGATCCAACCAAGCAATGATAGGTTTATGCAAGATGGAGATCGACCACAACGCACCAAAAAGGTGTTTCACTTTCTTGAAGAATACTTTGAAAAAGTCCATTGCGTAGGTTTATTCCAAATTTACTGGCACAGGGCATGGATTGGCCTCCATATTCACCTAATCTGATTCCATGTGCCTAGTTTGTGCAGCACACTAAAAGACACTTTACTGGAACCATATCATGCTGGACAAACTTGAAACATCGATCTGTGTGGCATTTGAATCCATTTTCGTTGAGACACTTCAGGATGCGATAGCAAATTTGCACCCACTCTTTAGTATTGTGAGTAGTGGACATTTTGAAAAGATCATGATGCAATTACAAAGACTGCTTGCAGAGGATGAGCTTATTTATGTATGTTGATGCAAGCCATACAACATACAGTGTCATCTGTTGGCAACTTTTGTAACTATTATTTCGGAACTTCTGTAGAACAATCTTACAACTTTCATAATAAATATACCACTTGTATTTCTCGATCGATCTTTGTTTTCGAGATTTTTAATTTTGAAATCAGGAACTTTTTTCCTGGACACCCTCTACATATTATCAAATTTGCACAAGCACATACACTCCAATATTATTTTATTAATACATTTGCATGCGATTATATATTTAAGCCATATTTTTAGTGTTATGTTGCGAATTTTAATTATATTAATATTTTTTTTAAGTATCCTTTCTTCATGTATTTTTATTTATATTCGTTCCTTATATTCTTAAATTGTTAAAGCTTCATTTAGCTAGTTACATTATATTTTTTTAAATAATATTTACAGATTATATTTGTATATATTATGAACGGAACTATCACCAACAATTTATTTGCTAGTTATTCTTAAAACTGTAGTGTAACAAAGACAGGAAATGGTTGCAAGGAGACACCTGGTTTATGGCCTTTTACTAACAGTGGAAGCAGTTAGGGCATAGTTCGCTTTTTTCGCTGGGGCTTTTACTAAATTGGGCCGAAGGTCGTAAATCGGCTTTTTCGTGTTCACTTGCTTTCGCTTTGTTATAGTTGCAATTTTTTCCTTCAAGACAGTGCGGGTTGTTGTAAGCTTAGGTAACTGAGGTTTTTTTATCGCTAGTTTCCGCTTGTTAGCTGGGGGGGGTCTAGTTCCCACATTTTTCCCAGGTTTTGTGAATTTCTTTGAAGATCAACGAAATAAGTTGACGATCTGTTGAACTATTAAAACTCCGTATTAATTAGTCGATGATGGCTTTCCTGACAAACTGGAGTCAGATGTATGAACTTCACTTTGTGAGTGAATTTTTTTTAGGTCTTGTTTTTTTTCTGTTTACAAATATATCCATATTAAGTAATGTTAAATTATATTAATATACAGGAATTAAGTAGTAATCATTTGTAATATATTGTAAACTGAGAGGCAATTAGAGAAGTTTGAGTTAATTACCTGTTATTTAAAGTCTGTAAGTGAAGTTTTTTAAGATTTGTTTACCAGCTTAATTTAGTGAGCTATTGAATGTCAAAAATAGTAACTTACAAATTAATATGAGTATGTTAATTTTGGAATGAGATATGTGTTATTTTTCATCTTAAGCTTTATTAATTATTATAAGGTGTAATTGTGTATGACATTATATGCTACTTTTTTATAGTTAAATATGTGGTAGGATTGACTGATTAGTTATCTAATATGTAGTAATATAATATTATTCTAGAAATCAATAAATGTGTATCTTTAAAATTTTATTGCCTTGTGTGTGTGTGTATCTGATACCATGTATTAAGTTGCGTTACAGTTGTAAAAGTTTAACAACCCGCAATTTTCAGCTTCACAACATTAGTATATAAATCAATGCTTTAAATTAAACAAATATTCCCCAAAAAAAAGTTAAATTGCCTTGCATACTGGGTATCAGAATTTATACCTATATCAACAAAATCAATAATTCTATTGATTAAAGTGACCATCTGTTTATCTTTTCAAATAAATCATTAGTTAAAATACTTATATAAAAATTAAAAATATTATAAGAAAATTTTAAGGAATGAAAAAATAATAGCAGCCATAACTTTATAATGCACAACTGAAATTAGTACCAAAGAACCAAATCTGTAAGATTACAAAAAGAAAAATTAAATATGTGAAAAGAAGATGTTGAAAGAAACATACAAATTTATGAAATCAGAAATGCTCTACCTTCATGGACTTTATAAGACTGTATAGGGTAATAGTTCTTCAACCATAGAAATCCTCATGTAATCAGTGCAACTACTGAATTAAATCATTTCATCTTTGAAAAACTATTGCAGCAAATATATATTAGCAAAACAAACTGTTTATATAGATTATTTTTAATAATTGGCTACATTTCCTTTATTAAAAAAGAGGTAGTTATTATTCATTTTTATACTTCATTTGCTAACATTTAATTCATTATATATAATTATTTTTTGTGTTACTTATATTACTGCATTCTCATCACAGTAATTTTAAGATCGTGTACAACAAATTCATTTTTGGGTGTTATATACCAATTTAGCAGATATTCCATAATAATGGATAAAAATCCTTCTCCTGTGAGTGTCTACTAATGTGAAATTCAATGCATCTTCAATCAAATTAATTTTAATAGATACTTCAGGATTATATTTGGCCACATCAGTCAATCACCAAAATCGAAAGATTAATTGCCAAGCATGGTAAATTTAATCTCTCAATTCTCAAGCTAGAAGGGATTTGATTTCAGGATATTTCAATTGCAATGTTTGTATGTTTTCTTTAAAATGTTTGGCATTTTAAAAAGCAGCAGTAAATTTTTTGTTATATTTATAATAAATTACATTTTATACTTTCATGCTAATTTTTAAACACATAATATTTTATCATTAATTATTTTCTCTTTGAAGTGTTCCAACATTCCATCAATTTTAAAATAAACATTAGGTTCTTCGTGATATTTTGTTCATTCATTCTTTTGTATTCCTCATTGCAATGTTTTCTCTAAAATGTTAACCATATTTAACTTATTGAAAAAGAAACAGTGATTTTCTTCCAACAGTACTGAATTCTGTATACCAAGGAAACGGTTAGAAAATGAAATTTTTTATAGGGAAGCAGATTATTTGGAGTTATAAAACAACTCATGGGAAAAAAGATCTTGGGGGTAACTGGTTTGAAGGTTCCAAGATTCCTTTTCTTACTGCTTTGTGCTTCATATATTGCTGGGCTGAAGAACTTCCAAGTAATAGTAAAATGGACAGTTAAATATAAGTAAAAAGACAGCTATTGATTGAAACAACTGTACGAGAGAAGTTTGTTGCTTGTTTTTGATGAAATATTCTTAATAAAATTGGTAGAAACACAAGATCCTGAAAAAAAAAAAACACGAGATCAAAGAAAATATATTCTTTAAGCAGAATTTTACCCAAAGTATTGATTTCTTGAGGAATCTGCAGGAAAATGAATGAATATTTCTTTGTGTAAATTCTAGAACAAGTGCCAATACTCTAATGGAGATGATTAAAAAAATATGTAAATAAAGGAAATATTATATATTTCAATAGCTGGCATTGCTTATTAATGCGAAGAATCGGAAAAGATTGATTTTCAGTAGTTGACAGTTAATTATAAATAGAAATTTGTAGGTCCAACGTCTGGCATAAATATCCACATCGAATTACACTAATGCAAGCCAAATGAAAAAAAAAAAAATAAAAAGGAGGGGAGACAAAAATGAATGGTGAATTTATGTAGCAGTAATATATATGATGAGATAAAAAATTTTATTCTATTTAGAAGCCATAATTTGGCAACAGATGTAAATAAATATTATTTTTCATTCAATAAAAATAAATGTTATTTATGATGTTCCCAAAGCGTGTTTTTCCTCTTTTGAAGGCTGCCATATTTTCTAGTATTTGCTAAATTAATTTTAAATATCACCAAATTTTGCTAAATCATGTGCTACAGCTGCTTTGACACCAAAATTTCTTTCAATATAAACTGAAAGATAAAATAGCCTGTATTTTAACATGAAACATATTTTCCATGGCTTAATTTAATTATCAAACAAAGAAATAACGAAATTTTTAAATGAAGCAATCAATGATACTGTAAAAAAAAAAAAAAAAAAAAAAAAAAAAAATGGATGATTAAAAACTTAATTCATCATCACTCCTCTAAATTTTTTAAAAATGGATTTTTACATCTTCATAACAAGCTTTTATAAATATTTAAACCTTTCATTTCCTTTGTCTTCTGTATTCCAGACTGGTTAATTTACTATTTTATCAAAAATTAAATTAAATAAATCTCATTTATATTTTATAGCAATGCACTTAAGAATTATTTACATCTTTACCTTTAACCCAGTTCGATGAATTTTCTCTGTCAGCTGATCAACAGCTATATTACTAGGTGCACAAACCAAGACTGGCCCGTTGCTTTGACGTACCAGATGATATACAATTGTAGCTGATGTTACTGTTTTACCAGTACCTGGTGGCCCCTATATTTTAAAGTAAACAAAACTTTAAGAATATTATGCATTTTTAAATTTTAAAAAAAAAAATGTGTGCAGAAATTTCTAAGTAAATAAATAACAAATATTTTATTTTCTAACCACAGATTATTTTTTGTTTGTAAACAAAATCATTAATTTGAATACTTTACACACACTTGAACTAGCTGTGCTTAGTCTATATTTTAAGGTGCCCCTTCAATCTTTGCCAGGTTGTTGTTTCATTTATGGTAACCTGAGTAGTTGAATGTTATGAAAACCCTATTCTGACATAATTGGTTGCAGGATTGTCATGGATTTGACTAATGGGAAAATATTTGTATGGGCTTATTTCTGCATTGGATGTCAGTCAGGAAGTGATTTACATTGTAAAATGGCTGTATGTGATGAGATAATTCTGAAGTTTCTGTACGATTTGGGAGGAAAGGGGGAAAAAAAGCATTAATTGATTGGTTGTATAAACGAAGGTTTACTTAGAAGTCGTCCTGTTTCTACGAAGTGTGTGCCCTGTTTGTATAGAGGAAATGTACTTGTTTGTACGAAGAAAATGTGTATCGTTGAACGCACAGATCGTTCAGCGGCGTTGAATGTGTTTGTTGGAAGAAAGATCCATGCAAAAAATGCCACTGACAGTTCGGCACTGCGGAGGATATTTTTTACTCTTACTTTTGTGAATTTATGTGGTGATGGCAGTATACATACCGTAATTCAGATAATTTTAGAAAGTTTTTCGATGTTGTTAAGGAATTTTGCGTGTCACAGACTGAAAACACAGAAATTTCTAAATATGGCAAGTCATTATTTATTTTTTGTAGTGTGTATATGAGATAACATGTATTTCCTTTTTTATGTTATTTCACAGCGTAATTTAAAATGCAATTTATTGAGCTTTGATTGGCTACAAATTTTGTTCAATTCTGGTGATGAGTAACTTTGTTTTAAGATTACATGACATCATCATTCTCCTGATTTTTTTAAGTGAAAATGGATCGATGTGTACATGGACAAGGTCAAGAAGCGCGCAATGCCGAGTTCATGCAATTTTTTTTTTTCTTTCTTTCTTTTTTTTTTTTTTTTTAGTGAAAATAGATTGATGTGCACATGAACACAAGAGTTTGTGCAGTTTTTTGACTTGTTATTTTGGTTTTGTGTAGCGGCCATCTTGAAACTGTGCCTTGCTGGCCAACCACCAATTTTTGCCAAGGGGCACCCTGAAATATATTTTTACCCTAGCTGTAAATGATTATAAAATTGCTGGTATTCATCGGTATTTCAAGAATCGACATAATTAAAAATTCATTAGTCTTATATATGAGCAATTTTTCTGCCCAAAAGGACAATTACCCCAGAAAGGCAATTAATTTCGTTTTGGCATTTGGGCACACCTAAAAATTTCCTCCTGTACACACAGAAAAATTGAATGGAAAAGGATTTATACGTTACTCTGATCCTTCTTTATTTATAGAAGATGGCAGCCCAACACAAACCAGTCCATATATTTTAGCCATGTTTAGTTTTTAAAGAGTCTCATTTTTCAAAAAAATCTTCTAGATTTTTTTAGGATATAAAAGGAATTGTTTGAAAATAAATTTCTGTGTTATTTTCTTGGCTGCATGTTAATCTCCTTATTCTTATTCAACATTAGTTTTTAATTTCTACTTTGAAATCTTGCCTAAAATTGAATGGCGAACATCAGGTAAGCCCAGCGTGGGCTCATTGAGAGACCAGGACAAGAACATCAACTGTATCTATGTTTCTCTGCAGCTCATCAGTCAGCATAGTCACAATAAAAAGGTGAATCCACATTTGTGTTTCATTTTTTTTTTTTTTTTGTTTCTGTCTCCCCCCCCTTTTTTTTAGGGGAGGTTTGGTTGTGTTGGAGTGAAGAAAGAAGAAATTGTTGGAGTGATTTTCTAAAGGTCAGGGGTAATTTTATCCTTTAGCTGTTTGGTTTTTTTCACTTGAGCAGTTCTCTTTTGCTTTAGTTCAAAGAACTTTTGTTAGCGCTACACTTTGATAGTTTTGAGTTGTAGACGTTTATTTTATAATTTATAATTCTAGATATAATACTGGTTTATTTTTTTTTTTTTTCAGATTTTTAATTATTTTCTAAATGGATCAGAAAGGGCTGACCAAAAATTGCCTTCAGATATGCTGGCTACAAAAATTGCCTTCAGATAGTGAATCTGATACGGATCCTGGTACATGTGCAAAATATGTAATGTTAGGTTGTGATTTTTCAAAGGTGGTGTTATTTTCTTCAAAAAGTACCACTATGGAGGGGGGGGGGGGAAACAGATGAAAGTGTAAATAAGAAATGTAAATAATGTAACTATCATATACCAAAGTTACTTTTTTTTTTTCATTTATATGCAAGTAATCATCATATAACCAAGAACAGCGTTTTAGGGGGGAGAGTAGCAGGCCTTCCTGTCACACCCTGGGTAATACTAAATCTGCTATGCTATTCAGAATCTAGTGTTTTTTATCCTTGTTTTTTAAAGGTAGGCAGTCTTTCAGGCCTGATTAGACTGCCTACCTTTTTTTTCACCTTGTCAAAATTCCAACTTTAAAAGGTAGTGTGCCAAAAGTTTTAAAGAAATTAAACAATGAAGAATAAGCATACATGTATGCATGTTTCTTGCACTGTGATACTACAACAACAGTACCTAGAGATATCAAATTTTGAATAACCCAAAAAAAAAAAAAAAAAAAAAAAAAAAAAAACTCCACCCAAATAAAATTTGAAATTTGCTTTATCTCAGAATTTGTAAAGCATTTATAAGCTTTTCATTAAGAAACTCAAAGATTTCAAAACGAGCAATGGCAACACTGTATGAAGAAAGAAAAAAAATTACCTCCAGCAAGCAAGACTGTGTATCGGAAATTCTAAAGATATGCTCTTTTAAATCTTTTTTTCTTTTTTATATTTTGTAAAGTATTTGTAAGTTTTTGATTTAAACTCAGAGATTTCAAAGTGAGAAATGGCAACACTGTATGAAAAAAAGTTTTTATCTCTAGCCTGCAAGACAGTGTATCAGAAATCATAAAGATGTGCTCATTTTAAAATTATTTTGCGAAATTGCTGTTGTATTGAATTTTATGGCTTAAGTGTGAAGAACACGGACCTTCTATAAATAAAGGTAACACACAAAATGTTAAAAGAAATACTCCTTTGTGTGTGATGTAAAGTCTTAATTTTTTTTTTTTTTTTTTAAACTTCCTTGTACTAAGTAAAGGAATTATTGTAACCACGAAAAATTCTGGGTACCATACTTCAATGAAAATATTCATTCTGACCGCTATCAAATGTAATTTAACAATGTTTTTGCATGACATCTGTATGCAATGATAGAATAAAGGACTTTATTTCTCCAAACAAATTATAAAACTGATTTAAAATGGATTCAGATGAGTGTTTTTCATGGCATCTGTACATACATATCTCACATAACTCAAAAACGAGCAGCCTCAGAATGTTGAAATTTTGTACATAGGACTCCTATAACACGTAGATGTGCACCTCCCTTTTTGGTTGCAATCGACCGTACCAAAAGTATATAAATACATATATACCCACTCTGTTTCTTGGCTCAGTGAGCTCAGTTTTTTTTTTTTTTTTTTTTTTTTTATTCTTATGTTTGTAAATTGGAAATTTTTTGCTTTTAAAAAAATTTTAAAAATGATTGAATTATGTTGTTCTTATCTTCTGGTTAAGGTTTTTATACTTTTAGTTAATCTGCATGCAATATTTAAAGAATTATCAACAATTTAAAACTTGTTTAAATGCAGCTAAGCCCAACTTTCTTTTTACCATAGTAGCCTTATTTGTTTACATTAGAAACTTAGCAAAAAAAAAAAAAAAAAAAAAAAATTTAACTCTTTTAAATGTGCTTGTTACTTTATGTTTTCCTATATCTTTCAATTTTTAATGAAAATATCTTGAGTTTGTACGTATTTTTGCCTTGCCGCGAAGTGAAAACTGAATTAACTGAATGAGAAATATACCTTTAATGAAATTCAAGGAAGTAAGTATTTCCTGTTAGCAGTAAAACGAGTCGCCAGTCTGTCTTGGCCAGAGGAGAATGCTTACGAGTAGTGCATGCACATTAGGCAAGTGGCACTGAATCGTCTGTGAAAAACTTTCTTTTTTATTTAATTTCTTTAATACAACATTTTAGATTTATTACAGTATTTGAATAGAACATGCGGCAACGATTAGATAATTCTACAGATTATATAATTTTTGTACATTCCGAGTTATAAAATAAATGAGATGTAATGCTGTTAAGTGAAATTAGTGGCAGCGTCACTATGGTAAATATAGTAAATTTTAAAGAGTGCATGTATTCTATCCTGGTTTATGCGCTATCGACGAAGTAGATTCAGTGAGTTTAAATGAAATTCAGAAAAAAATGCGTATAATTTAATATTCTATACATGAAAGTCATGTGGTGTACACATCAGCTTTTTCTTTTTTAAGTGGAGCAGGTATTATTCTTATATCTATCAAAGTGTTATAACTGATACTCAAAAGTTAAATATTTGAAGACATATACACAGACACACATAAAAGATAAGAACTCACTTGAATTAATGACAGAGGTCGCTGTAATGCATGCTTCACAGCATACACTTGAGACCTATTCAGTTCTGGCAAATTAGGAGCAGAGAAATGCTTTGGCAACTGGCATCTCATTACTACATCTTCTACTTCATGGCCTAACAGTTTATGATAGATGTAAGCAGAAACTGATGTTTCATCAACTGCAAATTTTCGCAAAGCTGCCTGCATCCTGTTGAATAAATTTTAAAATGAAACATATTTTATATACATATGAAACAAATTATGTTATCAATAATAACTTAAAATGAAGATAATTTAAAATTAGATGAGCAAAAGATAAACATTCCTGTAATGCTGGCACATAAAAATGTTTAGAAAACATTTAAATAATTCAGAAATAAATGGTAACAAATTTTGGAGACACTTTAATCCTTTTCAATTACTTTAACTGAAAGCGAAAAACTGATACTTTATAGATGTAAATGATATTGTTAGCTCAGTATTTTAGAAAATATCAACACATTTCGCATTACTCTTATTAAATAAGAAAAGTGATTAGGTGAAATATAATGCTATGGTTTCTGGGAACCACAGGATATAATCACGTTAAAACTGGCATGACCCTTTATAAACCAGCTGCAAATTTAAGAAGCTAATTAATACACAGAAAATTATTACATTAAAAGCTTATTAATTATTACATGGAAATAGCAACCATATGCACAATAATTCAGAGATTTGAAGAATAAATATTGCCGAATGATTTTGAGATAATAAGAATTAACAATTACCTGTCAAATGATGTTGATTTCCAAACAAAATCAACAACAAAATTTGATGTACAGTCTGAAGGAACCCCAAGATTTGTTTTCATTTCTATTCCGACTTCCTCACTGTAATCTTTTAAAAAGTTAAGAACAATTTCATGACAAAAACTTCAAAGTAAAAGAAATATAAATTTTGTTTTTCTTAGATGACAACACTAAAATAATATTTTAAAATTCAAACATGCAATAAAATGATGGGGAAAAGAAAGGATTAAAACAACTACTAATTTTAGTGCAACCATTTAATCATAACTAACTAAAAGCGAAAGATTGCATACTTTAATGATTATTAAGATTCTTGTAACACTGTTTTATGTCACTGAGTTTACTTGCATTAAAAAAATACATTATTAATGATGAACATTAAAACAAACCCTTTTTTTAAATCAAAGGATACTATCTGGAATTTTGATAACATGTCCAACACCAGACCATGGTTTATGCAGTTCCCCAAGATAACGAAGTCTTAATTCATCTCCGTGCATCAATCTCATATCTGCAACATATAAATTCATCTTCAGTACTAATCTTTAAAAATCAAAATTAAAATGTTCATAGAAATAAAATTATAACTTAAGTTATAAAATTAGATTTATTGTAACATACCTGTATCAGACTTAGCTATAGTAAAATAAGATATTATTTTCTTATTTAAGCCAATATCCCATCGCACTTCTATGTTATCCTGTGTCTGAGATTCTTTCAGCTTTTTATCATAGTCAGCTTCCATTTTTACAAGAGGGCCAAATATATTCTGATATTGATAACCATCTTCATATCTAGGAATATAAATTTTAAATATTTACTTTTAATATTTAATGCACCATCTAATTACCCGAGATACACTAACTTAATATTACAAAACAAAATACATATGGAGAACTAATTCAGAAGTCAAACAACAAAAATCAGCGTTATATTTACCAAATTTTCACAGGACTAGTTTCGATATTTTTTTGATTTTTGTTGTTTTGACTTCTGAATTAGTATTTATTCGGCGTGTTATTGTGTCTTAATATGGAGAACTGCAGAACATAAATCCAATTTTTAATGCATAGTCTACAACATACAGGGCTAAGCATTAAGTCAATCATGATCGACTGGTGGATCACCAAAACTTTTTGGTATGATCACCTTTACTAAGACCTAAGATGCACATACTAAAAGAAATATATTTATGGAACACTGACGTCAGACAGACTGGACAATCGGCTTTCACAATGGATGTGACTGTGTTTACTTAAGTATATGATTCAATGAATGTGTAGACAATACATATATCTTCATTAGAAGAGCATGATGACACTTAAGTACATATGTTGGTTTCAGATTCATCGGTTCACATACATTCGCTGCTCGTTGTCCAAGCTCTAGCAGTCGCTAAAGTTTTTCATTCAACTTGATAATTTTGCGTTACTTGTGTTTTTATAGTAAAAATAGTAATCTGTCGTACTTTAAAAGAGGGATACAATGTCGAAAACAAATGTTAAGAAAAGAAAAACATACAATTTTAACACAGAATGAGAAGAACAGTTTCTCTTTACAATGGTGAATGCAAAATGTGTGTGTTATGTATGTCATGCAAGTGTGGCACTTCCAAAAAAAGGAAACGTTGAAAGGCATTTCAAAAGTATGCATGGAAGTTTTGATACAGATTTTCTGCTAAAAAGCAGATTGCACAAACAAATGTTAAAAGAATTCAAATCACAATCAGACAATAATATTTTTTTTAACCTCAATAGTATATCTAATGCTGCAACAGTTGAATCTTTTTGTGCGAGTCATGTGTTGGCAAAACATAAGGAATCTTTCACAGATGGAAAAATGATGGAAAAGCGTTTCTGGAAGCCAGTGATTCATTATTGTATTCAAGAACAAAAATGAAATTATTTCTGGAATTAAAGACATACAACTTTCGCATAGAACTATCACACGTCATACAGAATGGATGAGTTCTGATCTGGCTGATCAACTGACTGAAAATATTATCAACTGTATTTGCTTTTCCTTGCAGTTTGGTGAATCTACGGACATGGTTGATATGAGCTCAGCTTTGCACTTTTATAAGTTTTATTATTATTATTATTATTATTTAGGATATGAGTGTAAAAGAAGAATTATTAATAATATTACCTCTAAAAAAGAAAGCCCGAGGTGAAGATGTTTACTGCACCTTCAAAAAATACATAGAGGAGGGAAAAAATTCCAATTCACAAAGCTGTATCAGTGAGAACTGGTGGGGACCCATCAATTACCGGCAATATCAATGGATTTTTAGCTATGTGTATCAGAAATGACATACCGCATTTCCGTTCTTATCATTACATTATTCATACGCAGGCCCTCTGTTATAAAATTCTAAATATTCATCATGTTATTGGAATCTGCATGAAAATTGTGAACTTAATTCGAGGAGGAAGTCTTCAGAAAAGAATGTTCCAGGCCCAATTAGAAGAAAATTATCTGATTACAGAGAATTGTTATATCATGCAGATGTTCACTGGTTAAGTCAAAATATATATTTTTGCAAAGATTCAGGGACCTACTATAAGAGGTAAAAAATTTTTTGGAATCAAATGATAGAGTATATATTGAACTTAGTGATGACGTTTGGTTGATGGATTTAGCTTTTGTTGTTGATATAAAAAGCTATCTTAATGAACTGAACTTACAATTGCAAGGGAAAAAAAAAAAATCACACAATAGTAGAATTGATTGGATTTGTTAATACTTTCAAAAGCAAGCTAATATCTCCCTAGTTGATGAAGAATAAACTAAAAAATTTCTGATGAGTTCTTTAAAAACGGAGGTACATTAAACAGAGATAAATATTATGATGAGTTTCATTCTGAATTTGAGAGACGTTTTCAAGAATTTATTAGACTAGAACGAATTGTGACATTCATGTGTTACATTTGGCAATACTGATGTCGAAGAAATAACTGAAAATACAAATTATATATTCTCTTTATCTCTTGAGGAAAAAAAGTCTTTCTCCTTCAAAATGACATAAATTCAAAAGCACATAATAACTTTTGGAATCTAATGACCAAAGTAATGTATCTGAACTTTAAAAAAAGTTACTTTTCATTAAACATCGTTCTTTGGCTCTCCATATCTATGTGAATCTGCATCTTCAATGATGAATATAATTAAGACAACACATCATTCCCGTCTCGCAAACGATCACTTAGAATCCTGTGCACGATTACCAGTTAGTATTATGTATCGACATATTCAAGACTAGCAGACAGTATACAGACGAAGTCTTCTACTAACTACAAGAACGAACTTCGTGACAATTATTTCTTTTTTAATGTATTTTGAATTGTTTGATAAGAAATGCCATAATTTGAAATTATTATATTTGTGACTATCATTATTAAGTTTGTATCTTGCGTTCTGATTTAAACGCGGTTTTAAAAGAGTAAGTTTTTCTAGGTTAGATAGGTAAATACATATTCCATATTTACTATTAAGTTATAATAAATATGGTAGACTTTTTTTTTTAGCTCACCACCCCTACGTCACTGGGTGGACTGTAACAACTTGAAAAAATTAGAAGTAGCCCGTACCCTGAAAAAGTCTGCCCATCCCTGCTCTACATTATATTAAATTTCAATAGTGTAAAGCAACTTCGACTGATACTAAACTCTGAACAGATATCTAATGCTTCAAAATCTAATTCAGAAATGTGACAATAGGTTGTTGTTTTTTACAGAGCTTTTGAAATAAGAACACAAAATATATAAGTTAACATGAATATTTTGCTAAAAAAACCTAATGACTGTTGTAATAATAACACACACACAAAAGGCATGTTTCAATGGTCTAGTATACAAAACAAGTAATATCATAGTTGCCAAATCTGAAATATAAAAATCGGAAGGTTTCCATGCCATGCAGACAAGTGACTACAGGAGGTTTGCAAACTGTGCAGTATGATTTGAAGTTAAATGCATAATTTAAGGTAAAATGCATTTAATTCAGAACAGCTAATTAAATATTAAGCTATACTCTTGAACTTTTTTTATTTGATTTGTTTTTAAGATTATATTTAAAACAACAAGGAAGGAAGAAAAATTTTTGTCAGAATGCTTTTAAACACAATGAATATTAAATTACCAATAAAAGTGCACATAATCTCGCAGATAAAATTAGTAACCCATTTGGTCTTTCACAATGTGATGGTCATAATATGTTTTTGAATCTCTTTGCTTCACTGTTTGCTATGTGGTCTAGTAACGCTACATGAACCTCTTGGATTAATTTCATGCATATCAATTCAATAGTTTGTTTTATTTTACGTTCTGCCTTTGTTGCTCCTTTTTTTAGCAGGAACGTATACAGAAACACTTCAGATCAAAGAGAATTTATTCACGAAAAATTAGTCTGAAGATTACATGGGAGAAAAAAGGAATTTGCACAGTTTAAATTTCATTATGAGGTGACTACGCTGCTGCCTTAGTTTCCATTGAGAATCTGTCAAACCACCCCCCCCCTTTTTTTTTTTTTTTGTGTGTGTGTGTGTGTAGCATTTTCTCTGTAGACTCAGTTATCAACATTTCTTCTGGATTTATGTTTGAAAGAGGTTATCTAAATTCTGGTACATTAAAAACTACATCTGGTGATTAAATATGCCGGCTTAAATGAAGACTTATGTGAGGTTTGCCAGTTTTGGAAGTGAGTGGCCATTTTAACAAGAAGTAACAAGTACATCTATGGATAATTTGTTCCAGAACATACTGTGCATATATGACACTACAAATAACAGTGAATGCTATGGTAAAACAGAATAATATACATATTTGATGTAGTTTTAACTGATAAATTTGGCACTGTACAGTATTATCATTATTAATGAATAATAATACAATCTACCATACAGTATTATTACTTTATATACTGTATTAATACAATCATGAAAAAATTACACTCTGAATGTTCTCATTAACGGATAAGACATCATGCCTTCTCTTAAATTTAGTAACATTGGCAGCATCAGCTCTTATACTTGGAAGTCATTGTAACATAAATGAAAAATTTCTAATATTGAACGTCATAAATTGTTAAAAGAGAAGCTGAGAGGTTTGGTTTATGTGATTACGGCAAAGCCTTGAGAGCTATCTGCCTAGGGGAAGGGATGCCTTCATGGAGGACTTTCTAAGAGAAACTGGTTTGTATACGCATTACACATGGGGAAAAACACCCACGCAGCCATCACGTTCGTGGGATGCCTCAGACCAAACTACCAGTGTTCTGTGACTTTACCGCTCAGTCGCTGGTGGGTGAAAGAAATTAAAGTTTTAAAAGCAGAAATTTACTGGGAGAATCTGTGTACATGGAGCCAGATGTTTTGACCTTGTTTGACAATGTTCCCTGTTGACACTTTTATGGCCAGCATGCAAAAAAAGTGCAGTTTTGAGGAGTAACCTGTAAGCTGAGAAAATGCACAGGGCTCTGAGGATGAGCATTATCATCCCCCCTCCCTTTACTTAATATGTTAGGAAAGTCTAAAAACATGCATTTTTTTTTTTTTTTTTTTTTTTTTTTTTTTTTTTGGTGATAACTGTGAGAACATAGTGCTTAGTTTATACCAGTGACTGTGTCTTACGGGCATATGCTGCTTGCTATTTTGTGTACATTTTAAAATTTCAAAAGAATTTAGCCCCCATTGTGAAGATAACTGGACCCATGGATACTGATATATGAATGTAAAACACCACTAATCAGCTCTAATATGTAAGTACATGTATGAATGTATGTATAATGAAATTTTTGAGGAAGATGAAACCAACTTCTTTTTCAGTCAATGGCATCGAATCCAATTTGAAAATTTTATTTTAGACATTTGAATATTTTAGACAATAAAGATAGAAGGCAAAGCAGACAGACATCCTATTTATGGCTGAAACTATTATGTTAATCCTGAACAGCGATTGCAATAAAGATGTCACATTGCAGAGAAACTGCAGAAAAAGAATGACATAACATGCTAAAGAGTGATGCAAAATGATACAAAGCAAGTCTCTGAAGCGGGCATGTTTAAATTTGTGAAGTTAAGGCCTACTGCCAATTGATTATAATTAAGTTGAATAATTTTGCTTCATATTTCATATTTTACTTAGTGTGCATGTGCATGTGTGTGTGTGTCTAAAAAAACATTCAGCAATGGATTTTATTTCCTTAAACACTTATTCTACACATGTACTTCCAAATACAGAGATTCTCAAGTATGGTACGAGTATTTTTATTAAAATATTTTCAATATTATGGATAGAATACTTTTTGTAAAAAATTAATAATTTTAATTTCTTAAAGAGGGAAACGTCCCTCACTAAAAGTCTCAGTACGCTTACATAAATTAAAAACAAAAAGTCCCATGACTTTACATGCCAAATCTGTAGGGACGATAACAGAATGAATTTACTATCACAGACAGCTTTTAAACAAGCATCATTAACAAATATGAAATAATTTTGCTCAAATTTCGAGAGAAACTATAAAAGTTTCTGGACTGAAGGCTTTGAAAAACTACCGAAATGTACGCAGAAAATCATACATTGGGGGGGGGGGGTGATTACTACCCACACGAAATGTACTGCTGCATAATCCACCCTAACTTTAAAAACGTTTTTTCTTTTTCAGAAAACTTTCGTTACAATCAGATAGCTGCCAACCTTGAAGAAGAAGTAGTAGAAGTACTCGTGTAGAAACACTTCAGACGCAAACACAGAAGGCACAGCACATAGATAGTAGATAGCATACAACGCAGATCGATACTAAAGAGGAAGAATTCTGATTGCGTAGAATGCTAAAATGTTGAATCCATAACTATGAAACTTGACAGTCGAGGCATATTAAATATTAACTTTTATTTCAATTCACATTTGTGGCTGCAATTCACTCGGCACTCTAATCGTGCTTATTCAGGAGCATTTACAATTTTAATATTATTGCAATAGAAAGAGTACAGAAGCACCATCTTAACATCATCAGAAATAGCAGAGGTAACAATTATCCAATACGCAGGTTCACCAAGAGAAAGCTATCCAATATGGAGGTTCACCAAGAGAAAACTTACGTTGCTTATTAAGAGAAAAAGTTTCAATTTTCGAAATTTTGAGTTCAGGTTCCGAATTATATACGTCATCAGCATTACGTAAACCATGAGACATTAGAAATGATACACAGCAGAAAAGTTATTAATATTTTTAGAATACACAGAGGAAATACCCAAATAAGAAATGAGGACTTGAGAGGCTATGATTAAATTAGATTATACAGCTGATTTACAATTTTTTTATCTTACATATATATAGGCTCACTAAGTAAAACAATAGATAAATACAGATATATGAAAAATATTGTAGGAAATTAAATGTGTAGTCATTTCTTTCCCACAGCTGTTATACCTGCTAAATTAAAATAATGAATCTGTGATGTGAAAATACATGGTACCTTAAAAGAACTTGCTGTGGTTCCTCATCAACTCCGGGTTTTTCAAGATCTTCAAACGAAGCATCAACATTATCCTGAAAAAAAAAATTACAATAATTTATGTCATACTGAGAAACTTAATGAATTCTATGCAAATAGGATTTATAATACTGCTGCTATAAGGTGTAATATGGAAAAAGAAAATGTATAAATTATATATATATATATATATATATATATATATATATATATGAAAATTATATTTAATAATATGCTAATTTCTTTACAAAAAACTTTTTAATTAATAGTTTTTCTAAATGTACTAAAATCTGTAACCCATAAATTGATTCTGTATTGAAAAAAAAAGCAGACATCCACATTTATACATTAAGACATTTCCCTTTTACATAATTATTTAGTGGTAAAATAATAAAATTCCAATCATACCTTCCACAGTTCTTCTAGTTTATTGATTTGAGGAGCTGTTACTTGTCTAGCACGCAACTGTTCTTGCTCCTGAGGTACTTTGACCAACCATGCTAAGAAACTACGATCACTAATAAGAGGCTTCCACTGATCTGGATCCCTAGCATAAAAATAAAATTGCATTCAAAATAGCGTTAAACAATTTATGTTTCATTCAAACAAAGTGTATTTCATTATAATAACAGATTTTAAATAGTAAAATATAAAGAGAGAAAAAGACAGAGATAGCTTTTTAAAAAGGATGGTTATGCAGGCTATATATTATATATATATAGAGAGAGAGAGAGTGAGTGAGAAATGATGTATATGAGATACAGAAAAACAAATGTGCATATACAGCATAAACGGAATTTACTAAAATATCATATATACATCAGTCAACAATCCTTATGCTTAAAAATGCTACAAATGTTAGGTATATTATTTATGTGCTGCTACCTCAAAGTTTAACGGAAAATGTGTGACAGAATGTGAGACTTTTTATTTGTACACACACTGAAAAACACTGCATAATTATCATCACAGCACCGATGTGCATTTCATTAAAGAAACATCTTTGAGGAATTAGTATGCTTTATCAGTTTTAAACATAAATCTGGAATAATTTAGTCATAACTGAAAATAATTATATTAAAAAAAAAAAAAGCAATGTTTACCACCATGCATAAATAGAGAATCGTAGATTCAAATGGTTCTGAATCAATCACTAGGACATTCAATTTATTTTTAAAAAGTCCAATATAATTTAAATATTTAGTGACATAGTGTTGTCATTTATTAATGGACATAGACTAAAGTAATTTACATTTTGAGGAAAAGAAGTTCTACGTTATTCAACGTTAAAGTCAGCATAGTTGTCATAAGAGGCTAAGCTGTAATTTATGGTACTCCAAAGACATTTATATACAGTCAAAAGTCTTTAATCCAGACATCCATAATCCGGACCTCAAAGCTACAAACTTTCTGCGCATGCGTAAACTTTAACGCATAATGCCTTTACGCATACGCATTTAATGTATAACGGACGGTATAACCTAAGCTAAAATTATCTAATTATCTATTTCAGTTAATGCTGCAGATTGCGTTGTTCCTTAATCTTCTAATTGAATCCGGCTTATTATTTTTTGCAGACTGTTAGAGCAATTTTATAGAAGTAAGCTTGAACTTTCCATTATGTCAAAAAGAATTTCCGATTCTGGAGCTACCAAAGGATCTACAAAGCGAAAGCATCTTTCGATGTTCATCAAACAAAAAGTGGAATTGCTGCAAAAAATGGATAAAGGCATATCCTTTGATTTTCTAACCATTCTGAAATATGTTTATCATTTTCATGCTGCTCTGCGGGGGGGGGGGGGGGGACGCAATGAACTGGAAGTTGATATGTCAGCACCATCCTTATCTTCAGGGCAGATGTTTTTATTTTGTTTGGCTTATAATTCCTTACTAAATGTAGTATTTCATCTCGATGTAATGCGTCTTTGATATGATTTAAATCAAATTCCTCGTCATTATAAATATGACGAATACACATCAAATAGTTTTCTGGTTGCAATTTTATAATTTCGACTATGCGTAATGTATGCTTTACGCATGCACGCGTTGAAAGAAATGTTTAATAAAGTAAACAAATAAATATTAAGCCTTTTTTTTTTTGTAAATTTTGATAACCTTTAGATCATAATTGCTCTTTATTTCATAAATTACAGTTTCATATTTTTAATTTTATAATTTCTGCATGCCATCTTAACAGATTTAAACTGATGATCCATAATCCGTAAAAAACCGAAGTCCCGATGAGTCCGGATTAAAGACTTTTGACTGTATATGTATTAATAACTCATTAAATTTTTGCTTTCATAATGCATTTTTCTCCTTTTTTATATTCTATACATATAAATGCATTCATTTCTTAAATGTTTTGGACTGCCATTCCATTTACATTTACTGAAAAAAAAATGTCTCCCAATTAAGATTTCTACAATTTCTTTTATTAAATTATGACAGAATGGAACAAATGATGTATTTTTAATGGTATATAATAATTAACATCTAGCATCTAAATGTGTTTACAGATTCCCTTTAAAGATACAAGTTGAATTAATTGGCACGTGATTAAATATTTTGTATTTTACACAGCACACACACACACACACACAAAAAAAAAAAAAAAAAAAAAGTAGAATAGTTGTCAGTTTAATATGTTAATATGTGATCCACTTTCAAATACAATAAGAGACAAATTAGAATTTATGATCTTAACAAGCTTAGAAAACATAACCAACCACATAAAACTGCTAGGTACAACAAAAAATAATACTTCTAAAAGTTTATCTATACTTTCAGAAGAAGGTTAAAAATTAATAAAGATATTTTATCTTTTTTAATTAGCTTCTTTTTTAAGTAACTTCACAGCTTTCACTTTTTTACACATGTGAGAAAAATCACATATTAACAAACTACATATTATTAATGAATGACTACATATTTATTAATGAATTAATTTTCCTGATGGAAAATTCAAAACTTCCTTTTAAACTAATGGGGAAAAACCCGGGTGTCCAACTCCTCAACTTACCAATTCATATCTTTCAAACTACTCTGTGCTGCACATGGCTGACGACACAACAAAACAACAACAGAATCAGCTTTAGCAGGTATAAATCCAAGCACAAAAACATTTCTACATCCACAGCTGTAGCATTCTAACACAGTTTCACCTAGTGGACCATCTTTATGTAAAGTGACTTCTTTATGCTTAGCTCTCACTAGATGATTTATAATGTGGCTGAAAAAAAAATTTTAGAAGATATATTTTTCCAGAATTAATGCAGAGTATTTTTTTTCAGAAATAAAACCAAACTCATAACTTACCTTCCTGATGTATTACCCCTTCCATTGCAAAACCATTTTTTACATATGTTGCACTGAACAACACAACTTGGATCATGAATACCACAGTACCTTAAAAATACAAATTTAACATTTATTATGATGATAAACATTTAACACACATACATAAAATTAAAACATATAAATCTCTCTCTCTCTCTTTTTTTTTTTTTTTCCAAAATCCTATAGATAAAAAAAAAATTATTTACTTTTAACTTCAGAAAGTCGATAATTTCATAAGATACAGATGTCAGCCTGTATATTAGGTTTTTATTTTCTGATATAAAAGCTTTAAAACCACAGTAATACTTTTTCAATTCATTATTTCTGAATTTATAATAATTTTCTAGCAATTTAAAAATCAGAATGTGTTACAGTCTGTCATTTTAAAATTAGTAATTTAATAATATCAATATGGAAACAAAATGAGCTTTATATACACTAAGGTAATTAAGATACAATAACATGTCGAACAAATATTAATTTAGAAGTCGGTGAAAATTTGAAAATATAACACTCGGGAAATATGTTTTTTTAATGTCAGGAAATATGTTTTTTGTTGTTTGACTTCTAAAATAATACACTAAGGTGGTCAAAAATAAGTTACAGAAATACCGTTATTTCCTAGCACATTTTCCTTCTAGCTTTAGCACCAGGTTCTAAATATTTAAAAAATATTCATGTAATTTACCCCTTCGTCAATGCATTCAATGATCTTTCCTAAATTTTAAAATGAATTCATTCACAGATTGTTTTTATCTTACTAACAAAGATACACCCTTGCAAACTAGCAGCAAAGGTCATGTTCACCCTTTCCTTCTAGCAGCTGAATTTTACAATAGCCTATTACATAAACCTACGAATCACAATGAAGCAAACACAAACTGACATGCAGTCTATGATTTCACTGAATTACCAGTATAATAATTTTCTCTGATTATTTATGGCTGATTTGAGACCGAAGGAATAGCACTGATAATATTAAGAATGGCTGTGACTAAAGTTACAAGGGAGTACAAATGAAGATATCTTACTAGATATTATAATGTTAATATTACTAGACATTCGTATTGCAATTGCGATGGTTATCTGTAGTTTATACATAACTACTTTTCATTTATTTTCTTACTGTAACCTTGTCCATCAGAAATTAAATTATTTACTTAATTTTTCCCTCTTGATTTTCAAGCAATAAATTTATTCAAAAAGGCAAGGGATATGTCAGGAAATATGATACAACTGCATGAAATATTAATGTAGCAACCAGTTTTGTCTCCCCCCCCCATAACCTCCAGCTACATCAAGACATTTATCATCAGACTATAAAAGACTTTGGAAGAAGCTATCTCTTGAATTCTGTGAAACTCTTTAGTTCTTTATCCTACAGGAGAATTTAATAGTCCCGAATAGTTTCTATTATTTGCACCTAGAAGCTGCAACATCACAATGCCGCAGTCACATTCATTCGTCTCGAAATGGAACAGCAACACAAAAATTATATTGCAGCTTTCTGCTTCTCCAAAGTACATTCATTCAATAAGATAACTATTTTCACACTGCTCTTGTAAACCCTAAATGGTCAGTGATGTTGCTTACTGACCAAGTTGACCATATTTTCATGGCAAGGTTTTATTATCGCAAAGAAAGATGGTAGAGAATATTTAATGATATGTGTTAAACTTAGCATTATTTTCAGTAACTGAACCGTTATAAAAATTTAAGCACATTAAGACATGAAGTATATTTCTGGGCTATTCAATTATAATTATTTCTCTGAAGAAATTATCTTTCACAGAACATTGTTTATCTAAGCCTTATTATAAACATCCTACGCACCATAACAGTTTTATATCAAAATATAATGTAACTTTTATTGTTTGAGTGCTTAACCTAGGTATCTCCTTTGGCCAACTACTATTTCATAACAAAATATTATTTTAATCAGTCCTGTATTTTCTCGTGTACTAGAAAGAATTAATTATAAAATAATTTTAACCCTGCCCCCAGTGCAAAAAAAAAAAAAAAAAAAAAAAATTCTTGAGATTTGGGACACTTTTTACTCGTCCAAAATAAATTCTGTATTAATTTATCAGATACAGGAATGTGCTCTTTATTCAAAAGATATGCACTGATTCAAAATTTTTATAAGTCTGAGTAGTGCAAATACCAAAACAGTCAAAAGTCGTTAATCCGGAATGATCTATAATCCAGACCTCAACGCTACAAACTTTCTGCGCATGCGTCATTACACTCATGCGGATAATACGTTTACGCATGCGCGTTTAATGTATAATGGACAGTATAAGCTAAGCTAAAATTATCTATTTCAGTTAATGTTGCAGATTGCGTTGTTCCTTAATCTTCGAAATGGATCCGGTTTATTATTTTTTGCAGACTGTTAGAGCAATTGGTACTTTTCCGTTTTGCCAGCGCAAGCAATAAAGTCGCCAATAATGGTACAACCGATGCCAAATGGAATATTCTCGCTGGTAACCTTTTACGCCTCATTTTAAAAACAAGTCGCAGCTTTTTCTTATCAGATTGATTGTTTCTTTCAATAGTGGCATATAATTACATAGAATTTTTATCAGATAGTTCAAATTTTATATGTCCCTAAGGCCATTTTCGCGGTAATTAAGTCAATCATAGGATGCAATCACACGCTCTACACCGAAGGCTGAAAATATAGAAAAGGTAAAGTCAAGGGTTAAATTCATCAATTCTAATGAAGAATGCACTTAGCGAAGTAAAACATTACGCAACTGCGGTTTTACATAATTTCTGAGTAAAGCTATTCGTACGAATTGAAATAATTCTTGCATTTAAACTTGCGTTCCCAAATTAAGATTTAACTTGAAATTAATGTAGATAATTACTGAAAGCATTAGATTTTTGTAGAGTAGTTTACGTAAGATGAGATCGCTTGGGGTCATGTGATATGAACCAGCGAATCAGGATGTTGAACCATGAAAGCATAGTAAATTCTTAAATTAATGTCTTTTTACAAATTTATTGTCTTTATTTATTGGCTTTTTATAAAATTTTAAGCGATATTAAAAAGTTTATGCCTTCAAAAAAAGAATTCTTAGAACTAATATTTTTTAAAAATATTTTTTATGTGTATACTGTATGTTGTCTGCTTGGCAAGATTTGCGCTGGCCAAACGGAAAAGTAACAAGCAATTTTATAAAAGTAAGTTGGAACTTTCGATTACGTCAAATAGAATTTCCGATGCTGGAGCTGCCAAAGGATCTACAAAGCGAAAGCATGTTTTGATGTCCATCAAACAAAAAGTGGAATTGCTGCAAAAAATAGATAAAGGCATATCCTTTGTTTCTCTAACCATTCCGAAATCTGTTTATCTATTTCACGCTGCTCTGCGCGGGGAAGGAGGGACGTCGCGCAATGAACTGGAAGTTGATCTGTCAGCACTATCCTTATCTTCAGAGCAGATGTATTTATTTTATTCAGCTTATAACGTAGTATTTCATCTGATGTACTCCGTCTTTGATATGATTTAAATCAAATTCCTCGTCATTATAAATATCACGAATACAAATCAAATAGTTTTCGGGTTGCAATTTTTATAATTTCGACTATGCCTTATGTATGCTTTACGCATGCGCGCATTGAAAGAAATGTTTAATAAAGTAAACAAATAAATATTAAGCTTTTTTTTGTAAATTTTGATACCCTTTAGATCATAATTGCTCTTTATTTCATAAATTACGGTTTCATATTTTTAAGTTTATAATTTCTGTATGCCATCTTACCAGATTTAAACTGATCTATAATCCGGAATCGCCAAAATCCCGATGAGTCCGGATTAAAGACTTTTGACTGTACTAACCAAACAACCCAAGTCAAGTTATCCCACACTCATGAGAATGATAATGTTTCATAAATTATTAAAAATAATTTGAAGTCATAACTTATGACTGCTGAATAAAATGTAATTATAGCTTTTGTGAAAAACTGAGCAAGACGACCATTTTCAACAAAATAATGAAGCAGCCAGGAAATGTTGCAAAAAACTGTTGCAATGTACTGTTCCCTTCAAATTAGTATATATAGCAGGGAATCCCACCTCAATTTCAAAGAACAGTTTTCTTCACTGATGCCTTTATATTTTTCTATATAGTACAGTATATAGCATAATCATAAAACAAACAATTGTAAATAACTTAAAGATAGCAATTAGACTAAAAATATGAAAAAAAAATTTTTTTTAATGTTTTAATTAGATTAATCTTTTTTGGCAGGGGGTTGTATGTGCATGTATTATTTTATTGAAATAATTTTTATATTTGGCAAATAATTACAACTTGCTTATTGATGGCAATTACATACTAGTGACATAATTGCCCTTCAACGCGTTTCAACAGTCAGTGTGGGTGAAAGAATAGACGTAGATTTTGCTGTAGTTCATTAGTTTTACGTTTTTCATGTTTTTCTTTTTTTCGTTATTTATCTGTATCCTTTTAGCAAATTTCACAGAAAAATTTGAATGCTGGACAAACAGAAAAGCACTAATTTTGAACAAAAAAGAACTATGACTTGAAAATTTATAAAAAACAAATACAGTCAAAAGTCTTACTTAGGACTTTAGGCGATTCTGGATTATCGATTTTTCCAGATTATAGATCATCAGTTTAAATCTGGTAAGATGACATGCAGAAATTATAAAATTAAAAATATGAAACTGTAATTTATGAAATAAAGAGCAATTATGATCTAAAGGGTATCAAAATTTACAAAAAAAAAAGCTTAATATTTATTTGTTTACTTTATTAAACATTTCTTTCAACGTGCGCATGTGTAAAGCATACATAAGGCATAGTTGAAATTATAAAATTGCAACCAGAAAACTATTTGATTTGTATTCGTGATATTTATAATGACGAGGAATTTGATTTAAATCATATCAAAGACGGAGTACATCAGATGAAATACTACGTTATAAGCTGAATAAAATAAATACATCTGCTCTGAAGATAAGGATAGTGCTGACAGATCAACTTCCAGTTCATTGCGCGACGTCCCCCCTTCCCCGCACAGAGCAGCGTGAAATAGATAAACAGATTTCGGAATGGTTAGAGAAACAAAGGAGCCGTTATCCATTTTTTGCAGCAATTCCACTTTTTGTTTGATGGACATCGAAACTTGCTTTCCCTTTGTAGATCCAGCATCAGAAATTCTATTTGACATAATGGAAAGTTCCAACTTACTTTTATAAAATTGCTCTAACAGTCTGCAAAAAATAATAAGCCGGTTCCAATTCGAAGATTAAGGAACAACGCAATTTGCAACATTAACTGAAATAGATAATTAGATAATTTTAGCTTAGCTTATACCGTCCATTAAACATTAAATGTGCATGTGTAATTATGATGCGCATGCGTCAACGCATTATGCGTCAGCTTTGAGATCCGGATTATGGGTGTCCGGATTAACGACTTTTGACTGTACTACCAATATGGCATAAAACTCATCATGTGTAATAAAACTGAAGATAATAAAATCCCCTTGTTTATGAGGCATTGGATAAATTAGTCATGGGCATTTCTTTCACATGAACAACTGTTTCGGACAGTTTTACTACTGAACTGGACTGGTTTACTGCTGAAAGAAAGATGCATGATTTTTTTTTTATTTCCTTTCGAAACCCATTGCAAGTTGTTCGTTTTCAACCAAACAGCTATCAGCTTCAAATGCAATCAGCTTGTTTGTCATGGAGAACCAGTTTCCCTTGTGTTAACCCCAAAACGATCTGTGGTGATTGGCCACTGTGACAAAGCAGAAAAATTGTTTCAAACAGTTGTTCTTTCGAAACAAACTGATGTGTGATAGCAGCCTTAAAAGCAGTTTCGTACAATGTAATGATGGCAAGACTTGTAATGAAGGAGTTAACAAAAACCAAAAAGCTAGAGATAAAAAAAAAAATTTTTTTAACTAAATTAAATTGTTAAAAACAGACCTACATATAAGAACGTAGAAAATAAAGAGTGACTTTCTACGAAACAAATAACAAACACATATATTTAATCAATAACTTCCCATTTGAAATGAAAACTTACTTGCAGGCATGTTCTGGCAAGTCTTTTGTATAATACTGATCTTCTTCTTCCTCCTGAAATGTTAGTTCTCCAAGACTCTGTGTAGCAGAACATACATCTCTGTCCAACCCATTTGGAAGAGACAAATCAGGCCCGTTCAACTATAATTTTGAAGTAAGCTTCTTAACATAGTGAAAATATATACTCATAATACAAACAAATATTTAAAAAAAATCTCCAATTAATTATTCTTAAATCTTTTACTATCTGTACATATAATAAAAGAAAGAGTCTGTATGTGTCTTCGTGCTGCACACAAGCAAATAGAGCCAGGGCTACGAAATTTGGTACATAGGTGAATCTAGACATGAGCCAGTGCACCTCGAAGCGATTTTTTCAATATTCGAATCAGATTTATTATTATTATTATTTTATCTTTTTTGATGGAATCACATCATTTTGAATAGTTTCATTCTTTTAGAAATGTGGTTTTGGAAAGTTTTCATTCAAGGCTTTGCATACTGCACTGCTGACTGTTGAAAATATGATATAAAATATTATTAATTATACACGCACATCTCGTTCTTCTTATTTTGACATGTATGTATCTCGCGAGGCACAACAGAACAAATTTCCTTTTTCTCTCTCTTCTCTTTATTAGCTAATGGCAAAGAGGTTTGTATATTTTGAATTATGTCATCCACAAAGCATAATTTTAATTGCTTATTGCTTTCTGATGATAGTTTCATTCTCTTAGAAATGTGGTTTGAGCAACAGCTTTTTATTCACTGCTTTCAATACTGGACTGCTGACTATTTTCTCTTAAAAATACGAGATTTGTTGCTTACAGTCGGATTTACTTTGCAGAAAAAATGACCGATAACCAAACAGCCTGATGATAAGAGCAATATTTGTTCTTTTGATAAAATTATGATGGTGGTAAACTTTGCGATGATACATTTTTGTATTTCCCAAGACTACAAAGTTTATGAAAATAGAAATTTCAGAGTATGTTGTAGCTGAAAGGTATAGTATAAAATAAAAATGTTTGCAATAATTTACTTAAATATATTATTTCTTCTGTTCTAGTAATATCATCATAGTAATCATCTAGTAGCATCATAGTAAAATCTAATAAATAAAAAAGAGAATAGGTTATCATTATTTATTTTTAAGTTATGTCACTCTTGAAAAGCTTTCATGTATTTTAGTATAAATTAAAAATAAATTACTTAATAGTTCAATATATTGCAATTAGTTGAATAAATGCCAATCCGAAAATTTTAATATTTCACTGTCTGTTTGAATTCCAAACTGTGACCAAAAGAAATTTCTTGCAGATACCAACTTTTAGATTTCAAGCAAAATATAAGTACAAATTTGATATTTTTCTTTGCATTTTTAATCCTATGTTTTGGCAAATACCTAGTAAATAGTTTTTAATTTAATTAACAAATTTTGTTTTGTTAAAGAAAAATCCTGCCCCTCTACTTTTTTTTAATTGCTGCCTGTCCTACTTTCAAATTTTGCATTAGCTCGTGTGCAATGTAAGTTTGAGACCATTGTTGTAAAGTATTTTTTATGTAATATGCCTTCCTGCATTGCAGCAAAGTGCCATGAAATTCATGGAAATGAGAAAGATAGGGATATTAGATTTCATATTTTTCAAAGAACAATTTGCTTTTATCGAAAAAAATGAATATATATGTCAAAGACAGGATTCTATGAAGGACGCACAAATTTGCAGAGAATGTTTTCTATGTAGTGCCTTTGAAGATGACATAAAAAATCACTTGTTTGGATTCCCACAAAAGAAACTGTTAAAATCAAATACTGTGCAAAGAAAAGAAAAATAATGCAAAGTGTATTTGAAAGACTACATAATTAAGCTTGAAGAAAATTCATTTTGATATTGATTATGAAAATGATGATAAGAACAATAAAACAGAATACAAATGATTTTACAATACAAGATATGAATAATTTTAAAATAGAATTCACAAATGATGACACAAATATTGCTATATGCCTTAACTAAAAAAAATAAACAATAATGCACTGAAAATTTGTACAAAACTTTCAGAATATTAAAGTAATTTCACATAAAAAGACTTTTTTCCTATGCATTCCTTTTGAAAGATTAAGTAATTCTCTTTAGATAATGTGAGCAAAGTTGTTTAGTCAAACTTAGGACAATGATCTTATATTTATTTAAATGTATTAATTTAATGTATGTGTACAGATGTAAGTATAAGTTAGATATTTATTTTAAAAATATCTGTTATTTTATCACATCAGAAGAGAAACATGCCAATTTAAAATTTATAATTAGGTATAAAAAGCAATCTTAGATTAAAATAAATTTTGAATAACTATTGATTTCAAGGGCAGTCAAACACCAGTTCCTCTTCTTTAGCTGCAGGGGAAAAAACTAACATGTATATTCAAAACGATGACAAACTAAAGGGCTTTTCTTGAAAGAAGAGGTCTAATTTTAAAAAGCTGTTATTAGAAAGAGTAATGAAATTCTCCCACTTAGTATGAAGATAAGATAATGAATGTCATAGTTTTTTCCCCTCATTTTTTAACGATAAATGCACAAACCTGCAACTTTTAAGAAAACATTGTATATTTTATCTATATTTTAAAATAAAAAGGTATCATTGACTTGCTAGAAATGCATATGGTAAAACATTTTCTCTTCTAAATTAAAGCTATTTATCATGCACAGATTTTTTAAGGCTGTCCCCCCCCAAACTTAAAATGTTCATTTCCCTTTTGCTGTGAACTGCATCTTTGCACTGTGTCAACATGACTACATCATCACTACTCACTTCATGTTTCAGAGTAGAAAAGCTCTATGAACTAGCCCTTCTCTTCAAATTCCTGGATTATAGTAACTAATTCCTCGGATTCCCAGCTGTCAGCACTCCGACACTAGTCGCAAATCTGGGTCCTCTGAAGTCGTGATTATTCGCACTTTTTATCGTTCTTTCTAGCTGCAGATCTGATTCCGAAGGAGTCTTCATTATTCACTCTTTCAAATCTGGTTCCTGCAGAGTCTTGATTATTTGCTCTTTTCACTTCCTCATCAGAGCTCTTCCTTTGAGTTTCATTTAGATTCTTTGAGTATTGTGTCATACTACAGCTATGTATATTAGATATTACCTTTTTTATACAATATTATAGTAATATATATGTAAAATAATAAATTCTATTTTATATTTATTTACTTATTTTACTAATGTCTTGTTATCAAGAGCTGTAAATTTATCTTTAATCTTCTTTGGAATTAGGATATATTTATAAACATAATTTTTTCTATCAAATGTATTTTTTAAAGGTTGCAGGATGTGGATCCTACCAAACAGAAAAATCTCGAGCGATATTTGGTATCATTTTGTCATATTAAATTTTAAAAAAATAAAAAAGGGAAAATACCAGTATTGTTTGCAGACAATTTTTTATTCTCTGGGAACTGCCTCCAATTTATTTTCATCTTGGCAATGAAACACTATGCCATTTTTGATTTAAGAATGAATCAGAAAGGAAAATACAAATACACATGAAAAACAAAAACTACTTTCACACATTTCTCTCCTTATTTAAATTATGATGGCAGCCACAAAAGTATCTACGGTTTAATCCTAGTATCCGGTGCATAAGGGATTTGGCTACTTTTGTCGACTTTAAGATGAGCAGTAAATGGGACATATACGATGAGTAGTTAAACGGGTCATTTTGGAGTTGGCGATAATTTTCAAAATCGCGCCAAGGCTGCACCGTATACTAGGATTTTACCGTATCTACTAAAGGAATGTTTTCTTAAGCTATCTGTTGTTGGAAAAAAATGTTCAGTAAAAAAAAAAAAAAAAATGCCTTTACTTCGTGAAAACAAATGGCATCCAAACAAAAACTAGCAGTTTGCTGTAGCAGGGCTGGTCGCCAAATTTTCGCCAAGTTACCATAATCCAAAGATTAACCAGAAATTTTAATAGATTTCTCAATTTTATGTCCTAAGGCCATTTGTGGTAATTAAGTCAATTAGGATGCAATCACACTGCTCACCCAAAGGCGAAAATATAGAAAAGGAAAAGTCAAGGGTTAAATTCATCCATTCTAATAAGAATGCACTAGCGAAGTAAAGAACTGCAGTTTTACATAATTTCTGAGTAAGCTATTCGTATGAACTGAAACAGTTCTTGCAATCAAACTTGTATTCCTTATTAAGATTTAATTTGAAATTAATGTAGATAATTACCAAGAGAATTAGATTTTTGTAGCATAGTTTACGTGAGATGAGATCACTTGGGGTATTGTGATATGAACCAGCTTACTGCCTTTTTACAAAATTTTAAACGATATTAAAATGTTTATGCCTTCAAAATAAAAAATTCTTAGAACTAATATTTGTTAGCATGTGTTATGTGTATACTGTGTGTTGTCTCCAATAAAGTGTGTAATAAAGTATACTGTGTGTCAGCAAGATTTGCACCAGTGAAACGGAAAAGTACCAAAAATTTAGATAGTAATATGGCACCCTGGAGTTTCTCGCCGAGAAATTTGTCACCAAGCGAAGGCGTATATAAAAAGTAGTTCTGTATTTTATTAAATAGTGAGCTATCTCATTGGGCCATTTCTGTAAGATAATAAATTTTAGAAGTTGTTAGAAACTGTGAGGGTAAATTGGGAAGTACGCATCATTGTGTTGTGGTGTGCTGATAATAGTGGTCAGAGTGTACCTTTTGTTATACTGCTCAGTCTGATTCAGTAGGCTTCCAGCTTTACTAGTGAATTAAAATTGTATTGGTCAATAAATGCACTAGTGAATTAAACAGTAGTGCATCTATTAATTGTAATGTCACAAAATGTGTGCTGCAATTGAAAATTCTTATTAGTGCAAGGTCCATGGAGAAATAACATTTTCTTGGGCAATATGTCTTTCTGCAGTACCCTTTAAGTGTGTGCTATGTATGACCTAAATACGAGTTAAGATGTAGTGCCTAGGAGTGATAAGCCTTCTATAGCGAGTGATGATCTCGTCAAGGATATTGAGGACAACGTTCATGATAACTACAGATTCACAATCTCGAAATTTTCTGAACATTTCTCGGACTGTTTTGTATGAAACAGTCATTCGAAAATTAGGGTACCAGAAATTCTGTGCTTGTCAAGTCCTCTGAAAATTCTCACAGAGATCCACAAAACCAATCAAATGAGCTGTGCCTTAGATATTCTTTCCTGGTATTACACAGAAGGGGAAGAGTTTTTAACGAGCAATGACTGGTGATGAGACTTATGTGGCATATGTGAGCATTGAGACGAAACAACAATTAATGATAGTGTCATCCTAATTTCCCAAACAAGCTGAGTAAGGCTATATTCATCGTCTTTTGGAAAGCTAAGGGAATCTTCCTTGTTGAATTCATGAAACATGATACAGTAATGATTTTTGAAATTCATTGCAATACTGTCAAGAAAATGAGAAGAGCCATTAAGAATGAATGTTGCGATGTCCTGACATCTGGGTTTGTGTCCTTGTATGACAACACTCACCCTCATACTGCTCGGTAGACACAAGACGTTTTGCACCAGTTCAAATGGGATGTTTTTGATCATTCTTATATTGTTTGGACTTGGCTTCTTCCAGTTTTCATCTATTCATTCATTTGAAGGATTGGGTTGGGAATGAACACTTCTCTGACAGTGATTTTAAAAATGGTGGACTTTTTCAATGAAATACCAGCTGGCAATGTTCTATACTGAGAGGATTTGATTGTATATAACAAGAGTTCTCAACCACGGGGTGGAGAAGAATTTCATATTTCCAAAGAAAAAAATACGGTCAGTCTTTTATTTACCAGTTAAGTAATTAATTTTAGGAAACAGCTGTCGTATACGGAATGGGTTAGTGAGAAACTCCCGAAGCAGTAGGTGATTCTGCATTTTCCTCAAAATTTTAATTGATTTTTTTTAAAATTTTGAATTGCAGAAATATATTTATAGTCATCTTTATGCATTGCATTGCTCAAATTAAACTTTAACCATAATTTATCTTGAATTTTCGGTACAGCTTGAGTATAGGACCCCATTGGCGATTTTTGGCTTGGTGCACTTTTTGGACGGTTGTTTTCTGGTAACCCAGTAAACTATAGAATACTCCATTTTGGCAATCCTGTCGCATTCCCGTGTGTTTTAAACCAGAAAGTGTCATTTTCTTCGAAGGAGCAAAATATTGATGTATTCAACAAATTTCTCGAAATTGTAAAGGACATAAACTGGGCAGGGTATAGGATTTTTTTTGTAAATTTACCATGATTTTGTAAACTTTATTAAATTTCCAACATTTCTTTTATTTTTAATTTAAACATGTATTCTGAACTCCTGTTTTCAGTTTGATAACTTAAAACTTGCATTTTCAATATTGCTGCTTAAAATATGCCTCCATGTACTTGTGTATTTTCAAACTTTACTTTTAATTTAAACATGCATTCTTAACTCCTATTTTCATATTTTTAATTTAAACATGTATTCTGAGCTCCTATTTTCAATTTTACAGCTTGTAATTTGCATTTTCAGTATACCTGCTAAAAATATGCCGTTATTTATTTATTTTCAGTTTTACTGTTTAAATATATATTCTAAATTTGTATTTAAAATTTTTCTTGTTAAAATGTGCATTCTAACATCTATTTTCAATTTTAACTGCTTTTACAAGGCTAAACTTGTATTTTCAATATTACTACTTAAAATGTGCCCCTACTTACTTATGTACCTTCAAATTTGCTGTTTAAACATACATTCTAAAATTTTTTCTGGTTAAAACTTGCTTTCTAACTTGTGTTTTCAATTTTAACGGCTTTTCCATGGCATGGCGAAATTTCTGGTCACCAAGGCAAAAAATCACCAATGGGATCCTATACTCAAGATGTTCCGAATTTTCTTTCTTTTCTTCAAAGAGACAACATATGTAAGAAAAATTTGAAAATGGGCCATACATTCAATACAATTTTAATTTTGTTTAAATTTATTTTGATACTTTCCTGTTATAAACACCATTGGAAAACAAAATCATTAAGCACAAAATTTGCAGCATAGGAAAAACCGTTAAACAGAAAATGCACGGAAATAACAAAAATTTTAAGTAAAAAATACAATGTAATAAAATTGAATTTACATTTCTTGGATACAAAATTTCTCAATTCCACTTAATTTCTTGCACACAGTTTTCAATAACCATGTATCTGTAACTGCAGTCATATGGATTTAAAAATGTTTTCCTGTCCTATGTGCTGGAATAATGTAAATTGAGCTATGCACACCACACACACACACAAACAAAAGATAAAAGAGTGCTATATCTCCACAGGACCAATTGATAAAATTGTGTTTTTCATGACTCGAAAGTATGATTTGGGATATATATTAGATTTGTATATAGCATTCTTCTAACATGTGTATTTCCACACAAAGTCGGACTTTTTCTGAAATAACATACCAATTCTTTTCCATATTTCGATTCTACAACTCAAATTATGCCTAGATATTAAATTTTGCAATTTTTGGTGAGAAATTAAAAAATTTATCTCGGTGCAATTCTTTTCAGTTTAGGCCAAGAACAATTCACTTTGTGACAATCTACAGCAACCTATTTTCCTTTCCTTTTTTCCCTTGTCCTTGAGCAGAAAAAAAGTCACTCCTTAAAAAATTTTAAGTGCATAAACTACATTTTTGTTGTTATCACTTGTAATAAATATGCCAAATTTCAAAACGTGGCAATATATATAAATTCACATATATCTTAGGATATTTTGAATAAAAAAATCTCTTAATTTTTTGCAGGTATGCTTAGAAATGCATCTACTTTAAGATGATGGTAAATATTTTACAGGTTATAATTCAAAATATTTTCAAAAAATTATTTAAAAAATAAATCATGAGAAATGCACAAATTTTATTTGGAATGAACCTAAATTTCGAGATGTGAAAGTAACACTCAAAAAAGTTTAATCAAAAGAGATAACAAGGTTTAATCCTAGTATCCGGTGCACACGGGATTTGGCTGCTTTTGGCGACTTTATGATGAGCAGTAAAAACCGGACATAAACGATGAGTAGTAAACGAGTCATTCAAAAATATATATAGTTATATATAGTATATATTATGTATTTGGTTCTAGTGTAGAATTGGGTGCCCCTTCGATTAGCAACAATTTTTTGTAAAATTTTGGCGATGAAATCGTATTTCTGGTTACCATGATAGTGTAACTTTGCTTTAGCATCCTGATTTTTTTTAAAATAAAAATAGATTGATGTGTACATGGACAAATTTAAACAGTGCGCAATGCCTAGTTTGTGCAATTCTGGGATGTTTTTTTAAGTGAAAACAGATCGATGTGTACATGGACACACAGTTTATGCAATTCTTTGACTTTTTATTTTGGTTTTGTGTAGCGGCCAACTTGAAATTGTGTCTTCCTGACGCCGATCTTGCCGTCAAAAAAGAATCTCCAAAAAACAAGGGGCACCCAATTGTAAACTTTTACCATGTATTTACACACATAATGTATAGTATATAGACGTTCTTTGGATCATTTTTGGTGTTGGCGATAATTTTCAAAATCGCACCAAGGCTGCACCGTATACTAGGATTTTACCGATAACAAATATATACCAAATTCAATAAATTTTGAACGCTGACTTTTTAAAAAAACTAATCGCACAATTTTTACACAACTTGGCAGTTTGGCATAATTTTAGTTGCAGAATTGAAAAATGAAAAAAAATTGGCATGTCATTTCAGGAATAGTCAGATTTTGTGTCAAAATACCTATATTAAAACAATGCTATATATAAATCTAATACATATCCTATGTCATGGTTTCGAGACGAAAAACGCAAGTAGAATTCCATTAACCAGCCCAGTAGAACGGGAGATATTGAACTGCCTCCCCCTTTTTTTTTTGCAGTGTACAACTCTATGCTATGCTGCTTTGCTTCTTATTCCAGCATTTTGCTGAATCTGTAAATCCTTCCAATGTTACTTTCATACCAAACAAAGAAACTTTCATTTATTTCTTTTGTTTGCCTTCACCACTAAGTGGTTCTTTAGATTACTTTATTAAATGCTTTGAACAGATATTTTACATATTTCTATTCAACAGTTGTTTCTTTCTACATTTTTTTAATACTTCTAGCAATATTCAGAAATTCATAATCTATGGATGTTAAGTTCTTCTATTCGATTTTCTTTCAAGGTTATATAATACAAAAGTACCTTGTTTTTTTACACTGTGCAAATGTGATTACAATAAATAATGTAATATTTTGTGTTTCATATGCAGCCATATTACATACATAAAGGATGATCGTGAATCATCCTTCTTGTTTACAGCAAAATACTTTCGAAGAAAAACATATTAAACGCCAATTTAGAAAAACATTATTGTTAATATTACAGATATTAAAGAGACGGCTAAACCTATATTGATAAGTCTGCAACAATTCTAAAAATGTACGTGCTATAAGTAAACACAGACTTCCAATTTTATAAACCATGTTTACTTTAGCACAGATGATAGTTTTAAGCCTATTTATTTACATCTGCATAAATTAATCAAATAAGTAAAAGAAATCGAGTATTCATCACTCACCTGGCTCCTTGAAGACTGACTCTGAGTCTGCTCGATTTGTGAAGCCTGGGTTTGCGAAGGTAACGAAAAATCAGTGAATTCAAAATCTGAACCCTGGGTATCAGCACCCAAAAGATCATTTCCTTCTTCAGGATCTAAGAAAGTTAATGTTTGAGAACTAGGTCCATATGCATCGACACTCATTGCGAAATTTTATAATAAAGCAAAAGCATATAAATTTTCGAATGCAAGGCGATATAAAACACAGCTTCGCACAAACAAACCACACACTGACTGTACACTATCAACGCAAGTGCATTAAATTTCGCACCTCCATGTTTAACATCCAACTGTGCAATGCTATGTTCGTTAGCGCTGAGTACAGTTTGTAAACGTCATTTAATTACCTCCAACTACAAAATGGTCAATAGCTATTAACGGAGTTGCATACACTGAAGAAAAAATACTAAAATAATTTTTAGCTTATCTTATTTTTAACCGTCATACACGTATACAAAATACTAATAAATAAATATCTGCGGAATTACGATTTTCCCCGAAGGTTAATAGTTAAAGTTGAAGTAGGTGCCATTTATGAAAACAAAATCTTGCTCCGTTCTAAACTCCTTCAACCTGTTAGATACAAGGATTTGTTGAGTATTTCCACGCTAAAACACGTTAAAACGTATGGTTTATTTGAGGCATCTGTTTCAGAACTGGAACAGTTATTAAGGCGGTTTGTTGACGAATGTCTGCCTATTCTTTCAACATAAGCAAATTTAGCCACGTATTATCACATAAAAAATGTAGTCAAGTACTGAGAAAGTCTGCTGCTACATGAAATACATCCTCAAAATTATGATGAATCAACAAAATGGCATACTTTATCATATTATTAATAAATATTTGCTGAATATCACTTTTGTTTTATTAGCACTTTTTCGCTTAGTGTGAATATTGAAAAATAGAGGCGCCACAACTCCATTTGGGAGGATAGGGATCCGTTAGGGGAAAACATTTAATTTTTCTGCATTAAAATGGTTAATTTTTTTACCTCAGGAAACACAGTAACATTTACAGACTCACCATGACATGATTCATTCATCACAATGTTATTTCTACAGCACAAAATGTGCATATACATCCATTATATTCAAATATTTTGCAAACCGAAAGGTTCCGAAAACGTCATTGCCTCTTTCGCCAAGTAGGAAATTTGGCGAATTTTTTCACGCCTGTGAAACTGTTTCTTGTCTGTTTGTAGCTTTTAAACATTGCTTTGGACTGGATTATTTTGGTTACGGCGGCAAAGCATATGAAATCTGTTCATCTAAAGAAAGAAATGCCTTCCTGAGAGGCTTTCTCAATGGAACTGGTTCGTATCCACATTATGCATGGGAAAAATCACGAAAACCCCCATGCAGGAACTTCTTTGAGGATTTGAACAATGCTCGATCTAGCAATTTTCAGATATTTTACCGTTTGGCCGCGAATGGATCTTAAGACTTGTTTTAATTATTAAACAAATGCCAGGCCATTGACCACTGTGAACAGATACAACGCTGCGAGACGGCTGCCGACCTTATGCAACCATTGTGGCTCCAAACGGGATTACTGCCGCCCCACCGTGATCAATCAACCATGTTTTGACCCACAGCGCAAGGCCAGACAATGCAGTACCGGTAGCATATTTCATAAGCGCACATCAGCGTAGCCACTGAGGGAGGGGTTTCGAAAATGGACCAATGAGCTTCTATTGCTCTTGTGACGCTAAATCTTCATGCATGTGAGCGTATGTCGTTTACGTTTAAATTTGCATTTATTTCGCTGTAAAAAAATGTATGACATAGTAGAAAATCTTGTAGTGCATTCGTTTCACGAGTTCAATTAATCGCTGACATTTCACTTTCACGATTTTTATCACAATATTTGGATTGATGTTCACGGCTCTTTACATCGAAAAAAAGACTCAAGCTATATAATTAGCTTCGAATATTATGCATTTACTTAACACCTGTGGATTAAGGAAATTCGAGTGTATGGTTTTTTTTTAAATAATTTTTCATATAGACTGCAATAAAAAGTGTTGACTTCTATTTACATATATAATTGGTGTAAATATTTTTCTCATATGCATAGTTTTAGGTAAAGATAGCATTTGGGCTCAGATGTTTATCACATATTCCTTTCTTCATCTTATTTACCGTTTATTGAGTAATATTTCGCATGGATATTTTTGCGGAGTATCCAAAATGTGTTTGTATTTATTTCAAATTCTTTCAACTAGGCAGTGAAATCTTCACATTTGCTTATATTTGATCTAACTTCGCAATGAAAATTTTCAGAAGAAATCGACGATACTTTAATTATTTTGTACAGAAAATTGCGTGGCAAAATATTTTACACCATTTTGCTTAAATCTTAAAGCACGCGAAAGGACATGACAGAAATATTACTGGATGCCCATTGGTCCATCCTACAAGCCACACCCTCGGTGGCTACACAGATGTGCACTTGTGAAATATGCGTACCGGTACGGTCCCTGCCGAGCCTTACTTTGTCCCGAGAGCCCTCAGACCTGCTGTGAAGAGTGTTTATATGCCCCCGTGATTCAGACTGCCTAAGTACAGATCCTAACCAGTACTTCCCAAGCATTCGCCTGAGTCAATCCCCGGGAAGAAATGTGAAAAGATACAGTTGTAACAGATTCCATTACTCTATACTAAGGGCAGATGTGGTGGTCTCTTTATTATGGAGGCACCTAATAGGTGGGACACCATTGCCTCCTATGAAGGGACGGACAGTTACCACCATGCCTTCTCTGGAATTCGAACCCAGATCCTTCGGTATCGCAGTCGGGCTCCCCTAACTACTGTACCGTCTTGGCGGCACTCCTGTAAAAGTTACTGTGAAGAAATCTAGTTATTAAATACATCTAAATTTATAACGATTATAAATATTATCTAAACGTAACATTTAATTGTAAGCATAAATTGAAATTCTGTTGACAAATATGTTTATAAAATTCTTTTAAAAAGAATTATTCGTACTGAAAAGCAATCTGTTAAAAGGTCTTGTAAAGCAAATTGTATGAGATGCGTACGTAAGGAAGTAGTAAAGAAGAGTTTTTAGAATATGTAGTGTTGAAATTAAGAGTATATATATATATATCTATATAATAAGTATTAAAAGAATTATTTCCTTACATTTTCTAATAACTCAGTTACGTACTCAGTTTGATAAAAATGCAGATGTTCGTTTTATAGGTGAATAAAATGCCTTCCAACCCATTAACGTTAATTAAAACACAATAACACGCCGAATAAATACTAATTCAGAAGTCAAACAACAAAAATCAGCGTTATATTTACAAAATTTTCACAGGACTAGTTTCGATGGTTTTACCGAACCAGCATCCTCAGCTGCAAAACCGCAAATGAACAAGATAGGAAATAATGATTAGATAAGATAAGAAAGCCTGGACAAGAATAAGCAAGTGGCGCCATCTGTTGGTGAAACCAGAACTAAAATATAATTTCTTTAAAAGCCGAAAATCTTTCTGTTCTAGTTAACGATCCTAATTCCAACCCAAATTTGCCAAATTTGTTTCTCAAAATTCGCTCTTAAGGAGTGGGATCATAATTATTTATTCAAATTCCAGAAGTACCGTCTTTGAATCTGCTCACATGAATCTATAAATAAATAAGGAACAATTTTTAGGACGTTGCTTTAACATACCGGTATTTTAAATATTTGAATCGAAATTCAAAATATTGTAAACGGATGAGTTTTTCACTTTACAAAAATTGCGGTTTTAAAAGACACGGGGGTAGGTAAACAGTACTTAGGTTCGCGCAAGCGAAATGAAACTTAGATGGTTTATAGTACACTTTCACGAATAAAATTAAATTCAGTAGTATTTTTGTATTTGCGTCAGAGATGAATTAGCGAACAGAGTGATCATACTTCAGTGTCTGAAGAACCATGTCCGGTGATAATGATAAGTTAATAAAATGTTGCAGTAAAATTAAAAACTAACCATCTGAACTATTTACAACTGGGATATGATCTTGAATTTACTATTCATAAAAATACAACCTACTTTTCCTGAGTACTTCAGAAAAAATTGTTGTTTATATAACATCAAAGGATAAAGCAATGGGTTTTATTTATAGTTGTCATAGGAGCTTACCTGTTAGACGTTTCGTATCAGAGAGGGTAGAGCCTTATCAGACTGAAGAACTAAAAAAGGCCACAAATAACTTTTTCTGAAAGTATCATCATACCGAGTATGTTTAAAGGTTACGTTTTTAAAAATGATATTGAACAGACTATACTTTTCTAAGCGGTTAACATGAAACTAAAATCTGCCCTCATTGGATAACTAACATAATATCTAAAATCGTAAATACTAATAGTTTGATCTGAGCTCAAATCTCTACGAACAGGCTGACTATATGAAAGTTCTCATTGTAAAGCGAATGCAAACCGTTTTTCCGAAAACGCTTCCCTTGGGCAGCTAATCATTGAATACTTTGCCATAATCTTTATAATCCTAACTGCAACAGTTGCGACGAAAATTAGAAAAAATCTGGAATTAGTGGTGTAGTGTCGCTTCGATAACATCGATTTATTGAGTCATCATTTTGTTTCCGATAGAGTCAGGTCTGTGCCAAGCCTAATCGGTGCCGTCGTACAAATGTCTAGAGAGCGCCTTTATGCAGTGACGATATTAAAAGGACATTGCTTATGGTTAACATTTAAAATGAAGCATTATTAGCATAATAATATGAAAAATGGAAAAAATTACATTTTATCTTTTAATTTGTCTAAGTATGCAAACATTTTGTGCTTTTTTAGAAGCCAAATGGGAAAAAAAAAAAAACAGCGTTATATTTTTACATTTTTACAGGACTAGTTTTGATGGTTTTACCGAACCATCAACCTCAGCTGCAAAATTGCAAATGAATGAATGATTTACAGGATTCCTTGCCAATGTGTTTATTTTACATTGGCCAAACTAAGAGAGCCTAAAAATTTCGCGTTGAGGAACATGAGGCATATGCTAGAAAAAAAAACACATAAGTCTTCTGTTGCCCAACATTATTGGTCCGAAAACCACACTTTCAATCTTTCTGCTTGCAAAATTATTAAAAAAAATCTCTTCCATTGGTGAAATGGATTTTCTAGAGGCATTTCAAATTCAAAAAATTCTTTCTGTTCTAGTTAACGACCCTAATTCCAATCCATCTTTGCCTTCAGCCTTTAAAGAAATTCCGTTTTATTTCTGGTTTCATCAACAGATGGCGTCAGTAGCTTATTTCCTGTCCAGGCTTTCTTATCTTATCTAATCATTATATCTTACCTCGTTCATTTGCACTTTTGCAGCTGATGATGGTGGTTCGGTATAACCATCGAAGCTAGTCTTGTGAAAATTTGAAAATATAATGCTGATTTTTTTGTTGTTTGGCTTCTAAGTTAATATGTGTTCGGCGTGTTATTGTATCTTAATTTTGTGCTTT